TTCTTCTTCTTCTTCTTCTTCTTCTTCTTCTTCTTCTTCTTCTTCTTTTTAGAATTTTTACTAGTGGTGGATAGGAAGGTCTGTATGTAGACATAATGACTTCAAGTAGAGGTTGAGAAGTACCCTCCAAGAATAAAGGAAACTGTGGGGTGCTGTGCTGGGAGAAGCAGCTGAGTGTCTGGTTGAGCAAGTCTTGAACCCTGGACCTTTATCAGGACGGCAGGAGTTTGGCTTTGCCCCCAGGCCCTGGTTCTTTTCATTCAGCTTTGGCCCTCCACAGCCCCTCCCAAAGAGAAGTCTATGACCAACAGTCAAGAAGAACAGCGCCTCAGCCTCTCCCACATGTAGATGAGGTATCTCCAAGCTCTCAGACCAAGCCAATAGGCGTTATCTGCTGCCAGACCCTAACCCACCCTGTATATAACTGTATATAAGGGTTCTATTCTGGAAAAGTAAAGGTGTGTTTGAGAATCATTTTGGTGTCCGAGAGTTTCTATCGCAAGAGCTTTAACACTAGAGCTGTAACACTTGGGGAGAGATCTGCTCTCCAGAAACCTTCCTGGGGCACCAAGCTGCTTCCTTGCCAGCTAGCCGGCTTCCTATCGGCCCAGCCCAGGCCGACTCAGTGTAGAGAGACAAGTGCACCACCTGGGAGTGACCGAGCTGCGACTCTGGAGACTTGAGCAGAGGCAGCAGCGGGGCAGGCAATCTCTCCTCCCTGATCGTACTATGTACCCTTTGGTCCAGACCTCTCACACCAGGCTTGGCTGGAGACCAATGGACAGTGGAGATGCAGGCAGAGGCAGTGGCAGAGACGGTAGCAGACCCTCCCTGCTCTCACTCTGTCCTCAGCTGGGAGATCACTGTGGAACTCCCTCCGGAACTGGGGATCCACAGGAAACCAGATGGAGAATGATGCACAGAGAGTGAAAAGGTAGCAAATGAAACCGAAACATATATGAGCCAATACTAAAGTTGTTAAATTGTATCTCAGCATCTGGCAGGAGAAAGGCACTGACAGCTAGTTGCAACTCCTATCAGAAATAAGATCTGAATGACAGGAAATGCTGAACAGGATGCATTAGAGTGAAGGGAGAAATATAAAACAATTCCCCAAGGTACTTCAGCAATGCAAATGTGAATGAATGATATTTTACATAGATATTTACATATATAATTATATTTAATTATATATTTTGATTGATTGATTGACTGATTGATTTAGGACATACTTGCTTTTGTCTAAGTCTTGCAGTCTCTGATTGAACTTGAATGCAGCATCTGTAAAATTATTAACTGCAGAAAACAGTGAATCTGAAACAGAAATCTAAATTATCAAAAGCTTTAAGAACATAGTTTCTAAAGTAGGTAAGGGGGCAATAACTCCAGTCTCATAACTTTGAAAGCCAAAACAGGAAGATCACTACAGCCCAGGAGATTAAAACCAGTCAGTGTAAGATTTGCAAGCTCATTTCAGTAAAATAAACAAAGTCCCATAGTTTTTGATGGTCTCTATATAGCTAATGATGTGGAAAAAATATAGAAAAGTATTTTATGAAATATTTATATATTTTTGAGCTTCTGTGTAATTTAGAGCAGTCTCAAGAGAAAAAGAATATTTGATCTAGAATAATAGAAATAACAATAAGAAACTATTTGAAACACAGGAGTCCATTTGAAAGGTAAATTGCAACATACCAAATGATATCATGTAATCCTTCATCTCTTGTGGATGCTTCATTGAAATATTGTAGATAGTTTCAGCATGCATCTTCAGAGCTACAGCATAACTTTGACAGTCAAAGGGAAGCACTATAGAATTGGCCAGTTCAAATATCATCGCTCCTCGAACCTGGGCCACAGTGAGGTGATATTTAAACGTCGGATCATAAAATTTTTCTACCACCTCATATGTGTCATAGACACTGTGATAGAGAGGATAGCTGCTGACTTTGTTAGTTTTCTAGAAGAGAAAAAAAAACAAAATGCATCTCTTTAAGATGGCTTATAATAAGCCCTATAGCATGATATTTACTGTGGTGTTATTAAGGTGACACTGACAGACATGGATTATATAAACTTAGATTCTTAGAACTTAGTAGAGGACTACACTAGGCATGTACAGACAAATATACATATACACATGCTGCTAAAACAAGATGAAAACATTCCTTGGGAAACACCCCAGACAGTTGACAACCAAAATATCAGAGATAGAGAAGTTGGTTGAGAAGCCAAAGAGAGGAATATGCAGTGGTGCATTAGAAAGGCAATTATTTAAGGAGAGAATTGAGGAATTACTAAACACCAGTGAAGCAATATTATGAAGTAGAACAATGTATCACTGATAATCCCACAGAGAGAACTCTGAGAGGCAGTATAATGACCACTGGAGAAAATAAGCAAGGGGGACCCTAGTAGTGAACTTAGGGGTCTTTCTAAGGAGAAATAAGTGATGCTTATGAGAGGCTAATTCTTTTAAATTGAGACGCCATTTTAGAGAATCTGACCTAATTTTGAATTCAGTTAAACTAGCAGCCTAGTATCTTGCATTAGTTTCTGAGTTGCCCTCCAACAAAACCCAGTCTCTAGGCTAATCACTCAACAAGACCAGCCTTTCCAGGCTACACCCTCAAAAAGACCAGTGTCTCCAGGTTATTCTCCCAACAAACTTGCACCCCCAGGTTACAAGCCCATGCCCTACATAACCACCACCAATGCAGAGGGGAACAGAAATTAAGTTTATGATACAACTCCCAGAACCATCCAATTATGTTAAAGGCCACAGCAGCTTTCCAATTAGATGCTTGCATACTTTCCCCCTGATTGCTGCTTACTTCAGTGCCTTGGCCCAATAGACATTCAGGGCTTCCCCACCATCAAAACCATTTTGCATGATGGCTGTGCATGGGGTAGGGGCAAGGTAGTGCAAAAAGAATAAAGAACCTGATATGAAGTGCATCGGCTTGGCTCTTGTCTGTTTTGGGGGGACCACTAACATTTCCCCGGCACTACACTCAAAAACAGGCACAGGGAAGCTACATATGGGGAGATCAAGAATTTTTCTCACAGCGAACTGCTGACAATGTGTTTTCATTTTTTTCTCACTATGTTCTTTCATTACTGATATGAAGAACACTTTAGTATAATTTAGTAAGAGACAGACATGGACATTATTAATGATGAATGAGTTTAATTCTGAATTCAAAATTGATTATCAAGGACATTTGGCAATCCCCTGGAATTTAGCTGGGTTAGTTTTAAATATGTCAGATGTATCTACCCTTGTCAAAACTCCCATCAAAATTCATACAACTTTTTATCTCCAAAGATCCCAGGCTGGGGGCAAGTAGCTTGATCAAGAGAAAAGACATACAAAGATTCACTGCCATCTGAATATTCCCATCTGACTTTAGGATTTAAGCACAATGGGAATTTAGAGTTGGGTCCAATAGTTTTCCCTGTGACTATATTTCAATCATCTTGAATAAATTGAACAATCATTTTAATAATTGGGTTGGCTAGTTTTATATCAACTTGACACAAACTAGAGTTATCTGAGAGGAGGGACCCTCAATTGAGATAATGCTACCATAAGATCAGGCTGTAGACAAGCCTGTAGGAACTTTTATTAATTAGTGATTGATGGAGGAAGTACCAAAATTACTGAGCTGGTGATCTTGTGTTCTATAATAAACCAGGCTGAACAAGTCACAATAAGCAAGCCAGTAAGCAACACTCCTCCATGCATTCTGCATCAGCTCTGTGAGTATAGGATTATTCCCTGACTTCCTGTGATACTAACCAGTGACATGGAAGTGTGATCTTAATAAATCTTTCGTTCCCAAGCTGCTTTAGTCATGGTGTGTCATCAGAGCATTGATAAACCTAAGTAAGAAAATAATTGTTGCTTTTTTCTTTAATAAAATATATCTGAAAAATAAAAGTATATGTATAAGATATTACTTACAAATTAAAAGCTAAAATTAAATTAAAATTAGAACAAAATTAAAAAGAAAAACCTTCTCACTATAAAACAGAAAACAGGGGTGTTTTAGTCATAAGAACATAAATTGCTAGAAAGAAGCTTTCACAGAACGAACTCAGATTTCATAAAATATACATTTTTAAAACTTACTAAAGATTTATCAATCATTAAATAAAAGAAATAAAAAAGTGATTTATGGTTTTGTTTCTTTACATTAAGTTCTATTCAGTGATTTGCTGTTTGATGACCTGAGCTACTATAAAGACAAAAGTCAAGCTATTGTCATGTCTTACTGGCGTTGATGTATTTGGAGTGAAACTGAGGAAAGATGAGCCCAACACAATCATCAGGAACTTAAATGATGAAGTGAATATTGAGTCAATGAATCAATAAAACAGAACACATTTAAGACAATGTTTCTCAACCTTTCTAATACTGCAACCTTTTAAATAGTCTCTTATAAAACTATTTTTGTTGCTACTTTATAACTGTAACTTTGCTGTTATATATCATAATATAAATATCTGATAAGAAGGATATCTGATATGTGACCCCTTTAAAAGGGTCGTTTGACCCACAAGTGGTCAGGACACACAGGCTGAGAACTGATGATTTAAGAAAATCATTGTGCTTAGGTCTGCAGAAAGCAGTACGAGTGCAACTTGAATGTGAATACAGGCTCAGGGTAACAAAGACAGGACAACCAACCAATGAGACATCTCTATGTGGCTTTCCAGTCTTCCACTTCCTCTAATGCTCAAGGTACTTCTTAAAGTAAAACTTATCAATTTAGTTAATATATATCCATACTTAATCTGCAAGGATTCTCTAATTTAGACTTACCCAATTTTTAGTATATCGGGCTCTGCCTGAAGCAATTCCAAGTCTTTGGAAAAACACTTCAAAATCATTGCCAGACCCCAGCTTGCTAATTCTGAAAGACAAAAATAGTATAATTAGCTCAGAGAACTCTGTTCATTCTATAAAGATCAAAGGTCAATTACTAAATTCTAGTCATACTATTTCAAATGTGAGAGCATTAGACATACAGCTAAAATAAGATATTTTCTCTGGCACTGAAAAATGTACTTCCTCTTCAATACTATTCTATGGAGGGGCACTTTAATAAATCAAAATTTATTTAAAGATTTCAGAGATTGGAAAATATTTATGCTCAAAATATTTATTTCATCTCTGATTGTTGTATAAATTAGTGAATGGAAACAACCATTTTCAGATTAGGATATAAAATCAGTTAGATTTCACACTGTAGAACTCTACCTCTACAAACTATTGAGATATTTATTTCCCTTCCCTTGTATGTAAAGATACAACCACTAAGTCATAGTTACAATATTATCAGAGTAGGCAAAATATTTGTTAAATGCATGCCATTCAGAAAAAGGACGTGATAAATGTTTGACAGGACTTGTGTTCCATTTTCTCCATTGTGACCAATTATGTGTACAAATATCAGGTATCTTAAAAGGCACCATAGTTCTCCCTTCCCTTTACAAAAATATTACTTATTTCTTACAGTATAATTTGAAGGGCCCTTGACATTAGAAGTGTGGCTGTCAAGGCTGCTGAAACAGGAACAAAAAACAGCTTAAGTACTTAGAGAGTGCAGACCACCAGTTAGTACTAAATAGATGGGTGTTCTTCAGAAAGGCAGTGACCCAAGCACTATGTGTCCTGAGTATTTGATGCTGTTATGGAGCATCTCTCTGCTTGTTGTTCTTGTGGTCTACATGTTCTTCGTAATCTATGTGATGGGTGAAGAGTCTAAGGGGACTCCAGCTGTCCACTGGGCCATATCACTGCCAGTCAAGATAATAGTGCTTGATGATTTTTCAAGCATTGCTTCTGGAACACATTAATGATTGAATTACCATACTTGGAAAGAACTTAGAAATGCAGATTGCTAGCAAGGACCACCACCCTTAGAAAGAGTTTCGAGAAGATTATTAAGATGTTTTTGTCAATGGCTCTGATGTAGAAAATCTTACAAAACAAACTGAAGTTCAGAAAGACACGCTCTTAATAGTTGAGCTAGGGAATTTTTAAGCTCAGGGAATAAGAACAATGGCAGCTCAAATAGCACTGGCTTACATGACTTTTTGCTGAGGCTAGGCTAGTGCTCAAGGTGATAATTAATTTTTTATTCCCATTTTTGACCTCAGCTTCTTGATAAGGTTTAATAAAAACTATTACTGCATAGTTATGTACCCTGAAGATTTAAAATAGAAAAAACTTTTTTTTTAAAATAAAAGTTTACATTTGTAATTTTTAAAAATTTTACATGATTCCTTTTTAAGATATTTACTAAGATTCTTTCTTTGTAACCAGAAATTGTAGCCTGTCAATGAAGACAACCTGCTAAGAAAATTATCTTGCTTTTTTAACTTATGTTTATTCATAACAATTTACTTAGTTATAAATGTATGTATGTTCTTGGGAATGATTTTCTATTTATTCACCAGTAATACATTAAATTTTTTAATGTAAAGATATTGAGGATCATACATTTTAAAAATAATCATTCACTAAAAGAAAAACTAGAATATAGCTGCATTATCATTTTTGTGCTCCTTGAGAGATTTTGCTGGGATGTATAAGCTATAGGAGAAGAAAAAGTTCTTAGAACTAGCTGAAGCTTGCTTCCTCTATCGAGTGTCTGTGTGTATGTCTGTGTTTGTGTGTGTGTGCACACACGCGCACTTGGGGAGGGGAAGGGGGAGAGAGAGAGAGAGAGAGAGAGAGAGAGAGAGAGAGAGAGAGAGAGGGGAGAAAGGGAGAGGGAGAGGCATACTATTTTTTTATTATTTCTATCTTCATTGACACACAAAGGATTTTTCTTGCTTCCTCTGAAGGAATTTTTTATTTTGGTCTTTAGCCAGCCCCCAAGGAGATAATTTTGCAGATCTTAATCGATCGCCCATTCTGCATCACACCTCAGTTTACATTAAATGCCAAATTTGCTCTTTGATACTTGGATGCTGCCTCTTGCATATAGCTTGCTCAAAAATAAACTTTGAAACCCTCAGGTATAATTTCAAAACACAGGATAATATTTTATTTTAAATACAATATTTTATTTTAATGACAAATATTTCTTTGTCAAATGTTAGAATATTTGGAAAGTTATTTCTTACAAAAAAATTGAAACAAATATACTCTTTTATATCCAAAACATTCACTCAGTGACCAAACTTGGTAGAATGGCTGGGTTGTTGCTGTACCTGGGCATTCCAATGAAGTCAGGTGAAGGACTCTTTTGTGTCCAACTGTCAAAAAGAGATTTGCCTTCAAAGTCTTCATCCGGGCTTTGCAGCTATACAAATTATAAACAAGAGAATACTCACAAATCCAATGCACAAACTTAAATGTCCATTAATAAGAAAATGAAGAGTTACACTACATTTCAGCAAAATAAGAGATGCAATCTTTATATTAGAAGTTGTTGTGAATTATGTGGCTGCTGTGTGGTGCTTCCTTGGTATACTTTTAGCTTTGGGATCAATAAAAAGCAAAGAAATTAGAGAGTTACAATAAAAAGTTCTGAAGAGAAAAATGTTTGTATGTGTGTAGTTGCAAGTGTGAAGATATGGTGTGTATAGAAAAGAATTCAACAAATTAGCAAATCATTGTCTGTGGAGAAGCAATCACAGGCCGATTTTACCAGATCAAAGAAAGTTATTCTCAAAACTGTATACTTCTCCTACTAAAGAAAATATTCCTTTACTACTGCCTCTTATTGGTAGGACTGCAGAAGTCTTATATGATAGAAATTCATTTGAATTGGTAAATATGTTCAATGATAAGGGTTGGTGGCTTGTTTGGTTTTTGAAGTAATTTCTAGGTCAGTCTCAAAAGTCTGTCATGCAGCTAGAATGATGGTACATTCTTACAACTCTGGTAATCTGGAGGCTAACACAGGAAGATCTGGATCTCATGTTCAGATGGATCACGACTACCTATCAGAACCCTCTCTTAAAGAGCCTTTCACATATAAGTGTAGGTGGTGCCTCCAACCAGCTTCAGTGTCTGTTGCTGCTAAGAGAGCTGGAAGGAAGGTCAGGGCCTCGTGATAGAGCCAAAGATTGGAGTACTTGGCAAAAATTAAGAAGGGATCATCTAATTTTGTCCACAAATAGGTGCATTTTCATTTAAGTCATTCAGTCATTCTTACACCATGAGTTAGCTAATTTTACCATACAAGGAGACATAAAGAAATTATATAGTAAAGGAATTAAGCAGGAGTTCTAGCTACTTTGTGACTCCAGTGGCTGCTTTGAAAGGTCTGTTTCTTCATTTTCAAAGTACAGATGGTAGACAGAATGCAGCCTATAGGCTGACTCACAGAGGTGGGAGAGATGGCATATAGTATATGGAGAAATAGTTGGTTAGCTGTGAAAGTTCAAGAAAGAATATTTTTCATGAGAAAAGAAAAATATTTATATTGTTTAACTATAAACAATATAAATATTTAAAATAATAATTGCATCCAAAATATGATTTGCAGAGTTTCTGCAAAGATTATTTCATCTCTTTACCTCTTTTGTGATGTTGTACACTAAGCTGTGCATCAGTGGTGTGCAATCAACTCTTAGAGTGTAGTTTCCTGAAAGAGAAAAAATTGGCTGGTTTATTTGTTTTATTTATGTTATTAATTTATTCAAAGGCCATTGGTAAACTCTACATAGAATTATTCTTTCAAAAAATGCACTTAATAAAAAGCCCTCTAATGATCTCAATGTTAAGCTATAAAAACAAACTTTTATGACACTGACTGCTGAATCTTGTCCTGAAGACTAGATAAAGAGCTCAACAGGCCATCTCTCCAAATTTCTACTTCCTATTCTACCCAAGAGATTTTCCTTAAGTCCCTTTCAAATACTGTTCCCTCAGCTTGGATCACTGTTCTACATCATATCTGTATGACTTCTTCATCCTTTGGGTTCATGTTAAATTTTCAGAGGGATCTCATTGACTCCTGGATGTAACACTGCACATGGCTTCCACTCCATAGATTCTACTCTCGTTTCTTGTCCTTGGTCTGTTTTTCATATCACTGAAGATCTGGACCATGAGCCCTCCAATTCTGAATTGTAGTTCATTCCAGATATAGTCAAGATGACAACCCGGATTTGCTATTACATGTGCCCACAACATAAGGTTATTTCCAAGATCTTTTATTCACTCTATGAGAGTTCACAGGACAGAAACACACTTCAGTTCAATGAGGACACATCTTTTTGAGAGGACATTAAGAGTGATTTGAGTAAACCTTTCAATTTTTTTCAATTTTATAAACTTTATTATTTACAAAAAACTTGTAAATGAATAAAATTATCACCTTAGCTTTTTGTTATGTGTACGTTAATATTTTAACATAAATTCACAAATATGTGTTTTATTATATCCCTTGAGAAATGAACATTTAATCAAAGAATAGAATATAAATTGAGGGTTATATATCTCAATCACATTGAACATATCTGTACTTGTTCTTAATCCTAAAACCTATGGTCCAGTTCCAGATATGGCATAATTATCTAAGCCCAGTGATATGCTAAAATGCTAGACAAATCAAAGGTTCAAAATTATCAATAATAATAACAGCTCCAAATGATATGATTTAAAAATGGTCAGTATTTATCACTTACGAAATGTGTGTGTGTGAGTGTGCGTGTACCTTGTACACATGAAAATCAAAATACAACTTTTTGGAGTCAGTTCTCACAGTCCATCTTTAAATAGATTCCTAGGATACATCTGAGTTTGCCAGGCTTCTCTCAAATTGCTTTTGATGGGTTATCCATTTCACCAGTTCTTATAGTTAAATGTCATATATGTCATACATGAAAAAAAAAAGATTCTTCAAGTTTGTGAATAAGACATTCAACAAGAAATCATAACCATATTTGAAAGAATCTAGTAGAAGAGGTATATAGGTATATTAATGAAAGCAATTCTTCCTGAATTAGCACTGATGTATAGTAGGGGAAATGCCTCTTAAGTACTCATGAAGTCATCCCTGAATCAAAGGAAAAGATGGGAAACCAACCATAAGTATACTAACTTTATCTTAATGGGCTTCATTCTGTGCTAGGATGAAATTGTTTGACTAATTTGTTACCTGCAGAATAATCATTGTTCTCTAAAGAGGCCAAAAATATTCACCTTCTATAGAAGAATCTGCATTAACATAAGCCACACCACGTTCTTGTAGGAGTCTTGAATGTTCCTATAACAAGAAATTTAATAAACTATAAGCTTAAATTTAACTCCCACCCAAGGTATATCTGCCATTATTTAATGTAGATATTTGAATGAAATTGCATCATAATTCCCACAAGTTTAGCATATAAAGTCTCAAAAAAAGTGTTTGACTATGAGAAACAAAAGCACATTGATCTACATTACATTTGTGAGGATGAATAGTTCAGACTCAGAAGATGAAAGGGAACAGGGAATTAAAACATGTTTAAAGTAATTTAAACAATCACATTTTTTTAGTGAACATATTTTTATGAGATTTTTCAGTAAAAATAAACATTTACAAATCCTGTCATAATGTAAGCAGGAATGATTTCCTTGATTTACAGAAAATGAGCAATTTACTGGTCAGGAAATTTTAAAAAGAAAACCTGACCATGAGGACAATTTCCCTTGTAGGATATTACCACCTACTGGTGATCATAGCTGATTGCATATTTTTAGAACTAAGAGGTGTAGCAAAGATCCCTAGAACATTTGGTCTCCAAAACACTGAATTTTGATTGTAAAAGAAAAATCAGGAAAGTATCTGAGTGATAAAAAAAATATTGATCGCTCAAGGGGCTGAGGCAGTAGAATTGTAGGAGTTGCAGGGCAGTTTGAGCTAAATAAAGATACTGTCTGAAAATAATGACAATAATAGCAATAATAATAATAATAATAATAATAATAATAATAATAATAATTCTACACGACAAATTACTTTGTGAAATATTCATGGATTTTCCTGCCATGAGGATGAGACTTTTCTGTGGAAGAAAACTTCATGTTGACCAACGATAATACAGCAGTTATTTGGAGAAACCTGTAATATCTATGTTTATCAGGAATTACATGAACATTAACAGCATTGTAGGAAGCTGGTGAAACAGATATCAAAACTCCATATGTTTATTTCTCTGTCACACCAAGCTAATACACATTTGAATGGAGTTACTATTCAGGTTGCCTGATAAGTATTCCTTCTGCATCACATTCTGCTGTATATAACAGTGATGAGACCGCTGAGATAAGTAAATACACATCAGGCCTTACTCTGGAACCTGAATTCTCAATGTGACTGGTACTTGGAGTTGATTTGGGTGGTATGTAAGAATCTTATTAGAAATTGACATGTTTTAAGTTGCGTGGTCCTCTCATCTTCATTGTGTATATCTGGGCTTGTCCTTCAGTTCTGAGGACACTTGAGGGACTCCATGAGTATCCTGCTTCCCTTTTGAAGACTGTGGGCCCCAGGAATAACCGGCTTGAAACCAGGACCCAACAATACCTCCCCAGTAGGGTCTGAAAGGGGCACAGCCTAAAGAGATGAGTTGCTCACTGCCCCTGACCTCCATTGTCTAGTTCTAGGTTTGACCTTCAGTTTTGAGCAGGCTTGCAGAAACCCAAGAGCATCCTGCTTCACTGTGGTGGCCTTTGGGGGGCCCTCAAGTTCTACTAGCTTGGAGCATTGTCTCACCCATCCCTTGCCAGAGGGGTCCACCTGAGGCACAGCCATCACAGTCAGGTAACCTGACTTCTGCTGTCTGGCCCACAGCTTCCCCGTGCCATCAGAATAATGCCGCTATCACCAGGGAAAATCGGATGCCTAAAGGACAATGCAAAAACACAATCAAAACTCAGGGCAATATGTCACCACCAGAGCCCAACTATCTTACTATAGCAAACTCTGGATATCCTAAAAAAGTGACGCACAAGAAGATAATTTTAAATCAAATGTTATAAGGATGATGGATACCTTTAAAGATGAAATACATAATTTAATAAAGAAATACAGGAAAATATATTAAAACAAGTAGAGGTCGTAAAAGAGGAAACAAATAAAAATAAAGAAATACAGGGAAAATATAATCAAATGGGTGAAGGCTACGGATAAAACTATCCAAGACCTGAAAAAGGAAATGAAAGATGGAAAATCTAGGAAAGAGGACAGAAGTTACAGACACCAACAGGATATTAAAGATGCAAGAGAGAATCTCAGACATATAAGATATGATGGAAGAAATACATACATCGTTCAAAGAAAATGCAAGATCTAAAAAGATCATGACACAAAATGATGAAAAACTTGGAATATTCTGATAAGACCAAGCCTAAGAACAATAGGAATAGAAGGAGAAGATTCCCAGATCAAAAGCACAGAAAACATCTTCGACAAAATCATAGAATACATTTTTCCCTAGTGTAAAGGAAGACATGCCTATAAATGTACAAGAAGCTTACAGACCAAAGAGATTAGACAAGAAAAGAAAATCTTACCACCACATATAATCAAAACATTAAATGTACATTAAAAAAAAAAAGAATACTTAAAGCTGTAAAGGAAAAAAAGCCAAGTAACACATAAAGGCAGACCTATCGTAATTTTACTAGACTTATCAATAGAGACTCTGAAAGGTTGAAGGGCCTGGGAAGATGTACAAAAGACCATAAGAGCCCACAGATGTCAGTCCAGACTACTATACCCAGCAAAACATCCAATCACCACAGATGTAGAAACCAAAATATTCCATGACAAAATCAAATTTAAACAATATCCTTCAAACAACCCAGCACTACAGAGGATACTAGAAAGAAAACCCCAAACCAATGAAGCTGACTACACTCATGAAAACACAAGAAATAAATAATGTCACACCATTAAAACCAACAGAATCACAACATACACACACACACAGACACACAGACACACACACACACACACACACACACACACAGAGAACCACCACCAACATCAAAATAACAGGAAGTAACAACCATTGACCATTAATATCTCTCAACATTGATGGAATCAATTCCCCAGTAAAAAGACACTTGCTAACAGAATGGACTTCTAAAGAGAATCCATCATTGTATACAAGAAACACATCTCAGCAACAAAGATAAATAGTATGTCAGAGTAAACTGCTAAGAAAGTTTTCCAAGTAAAGAGACACAAGAAGCAAGCTTGAGTAGCCTTTCAAATACCTAAGAGATTTTCAACCAAAAGTAATCAAAAGATATGGAAAAGGACAATTTATACACATCAAAGGAAAAAATCTATCATGAGGACATCTCAATTCTTAATATCTATGCTACAAATGCAAGAGCAACCACATTCATTAAAAAAAAATTACTAAAGCTTGAATCATACATTGAATCTCACATGTTAATAGTCACAGATTTTAATACCCCACTTTTACCAACTAACAGGTCATCCAGACAGAAACTAAATAGAGAAATAATGAAACCAACAGAGATTATGATTCAAATGTACCTAACAGGTGTTTATAAAACAAGTAACCCAAACACAAAACAATAGACCTTCTTCTCAGCACCTAATAGAACCTTCTCCAAAATTGACCATATAATAAATTAGTATATAATATAATATAATATAATATAATATAATATAATAAATATAATATAATTTGTCTAAAACAAGCCTCAACATATAAAAGAAAAAAACCCTTGCATCTTGCCAGATCACTATGGACTAATGGATTCAACAACAACAGAAATTATTGGGGACAGGTTTTAATGCTTTGTCTTAATTTGGCTTCCAGAATGTGTACTTCCAGATGCTGATGCTCCCTGCCCACAGCTGGCCTGGATTGGTAATAAAGAACAGCAGTAAAGCCAATGACTGGGCAGGGAGACTGAAGTAGAACTTTTACACTGCATAAGCAAGGGGCATAGGGGGGAAAAGAAGAGACAGAATCACCATGATGGGGGAGCAGTGAGATTATAATTAAAGGTCCACTGACATGCAAAAATCCAGGGAAACAGCCCCAGGAGCCATGCTCCACTCCATTGGGAGGTTTAGAATTACCCAGATATTAAGCTAGTTAGGCATATTAAAAGTTAAGCTGACGTGTGTGTGTGTGTGTGTGTGTGTGTGTGTGTGTGTGTGTGTGTTTCATTCTTGAATCCAGAGAGCTGGAGAGTGGCTAGAACTAAAAATTAACCACTACAAGAAAAACAGAAGGCCCACATACTCATGCAAACTGAACTCTCTCCTCCATGATCACTGAATCATGGAAAAAATGAAGAAAGTAACTAAAGACTTGCTAGAATTCAGCAAAAATGAGGGCACAACATTCCTAAACTTTTGGGACACTATGGTACCAGTGCTAAGAGGAAAATTCATAGCACTAAACGTTTTCATAAAGAAATTGGAAGGTTCTTATACTAACAAATTAAAAGTACACCTGAAAACTCTAGGAAAAAAAAAAGAAGCAAACCTACTGAAGAGGAGTAGATGCCAGGTAATAATCAAACTTAGGCCAAAAAAAAAAATCAATTACAAACAAAGACAACAATACAAAGAATCAACAATGCAAAGAATCAAAAAAACCAAGAGCTAGTTCTTTGGAAAAATCAACAAGATAGGCAATCCCTTAGCCAAACTAACTAAAATGCAGATATACAACATGCAAATTAAAAATAAGTATCAGAAATGAAAAGAGATACACAAGTATTGATACTGAAAAAATTCAAAGAATCCAAAGGTCTTATGTCAAAAGGTTGTACTCAACAAAATTGAAAATCTAAATGAAATGGATGATTTTCTATGCTGGTACCAACTACCAAATGTAAATTAAGATTAGGTAAACTACTTGAATAGTCCTGTAACCACTAAAGAAATAAATATGATCATTAAGTGTCTCCCAACCAAAGGAAAAAAAAGCCTTTGGCCAGATGGTTTCAGCACAGAATTTGAATGAAGAGGTAATGCCAATGCTCCTCAAAAAAATTGAAGAATATATCAGAAGATAGAATGATCTCCCATGCTCCTAGATTGGTAGGATTAACACAGTGAAAATGGTCTTTTTACTAAAAGCAATCAGAGATTCAATGGAATCTCAATCAAAATTTGATTAAAATTCTTTACAGAAGAGTTTTCAACTTTATATGTAATAGCAAAACACCCAGGATACCTAAAACAGTTCTGAACAATGAAAGAACTTCTAGAGATACCAGTATCCCTGACTTCAAGCTGTACTTTAGAGCAGTGGTAATTAAAACCACGTGGTGTTGCTAGAAACAGGTAGGTGGATATATGGAATCAAATTGTAAACCCAGAAATAAACCCACATACCCATGGACACTTGGTTTTTGACAGAGAAGCCACATGGAAAAAATGAAAGCATCTTTAATAAATGTTGCTTATCTAAGTGGATGTTTGCATACAGAAGATTGCAAAGAGATCCATGTTTATTACCCTGAACAAAAATCAAGTCCAAATGGATCTAAGGCCTCAACCTAAAACAAGATACACTAAATTAATATAACAGAAACTGGGGAATAGTCTTGAACTTCCTGAACAGAACACCAACGACACAGGCACTAAGATTAACCATTGACTGCGAAATGGAAAAGCTTCTGTAAGGCAAAAAATACTATCACTAGGACAAAATAAGAGCCTATAGATTGGGAAAAGGTCTTCAACAATCATACATCAGATAGAGGGCTAATATACAAAATATGTAAAGAACACAAGTAGTCAGAAAACAATATACCAAATAACTAAATTTAAAAATGAGATGCAGATCTAAACAGAAAATTCTCAACATAGGAATCTCGAATGTCTGAGATGCACTTTAAAAAAAAAATCAATATCCTTAGTCATCAGGGAAATGAAAACAACCCTGAGATTCTTTCTTACATGCATCAGAAGGGCTAAGGTCAAAACCTCAAGGGTCAGAACATGCTGCTGAGGTTCTGGAGCAAGGGATACACTCCTCCATTGGTGGTGGGATTAATAACTTATACATCCATTATGGAAATAAATTTGGAAGTTTCTGAAAAAGTTGGAAATAATTCCACCTTAAGACCCAGTTATACCATTCCAGGGCATATATTCAAAAGATGTTCCATCGTCCTATAAGAACACATGCTCAACTATGTTAATAGCAGCTTTATTTGTAATATCTGGAAACTGGAAACAATCTACATGTCCTTCCACAGAAGAAAGAATAAAGAAAATGTGGTTCATTTACACAATGCAATACTATCCAGCTATTAAAAACAAGGACATTATGAATTTTTCAGGTAAATGTATGGAACTAGAAAATATCATTCTGAGTGAGGTGATATTTTATCCATAAGTCATACATGGTATATTCTCACTTATAAATAGATGTTAGCAATAGCAAGGTAAGCCAAACACAAAAGGATATGCATGGCATGTACTCACTTATAAGAGGATACTAGCAATAAAGTACAGGATAGCCACGCTATACAGCAGACCCAAACAACCCAAATAACTAGGGAGCAAGAGGAAGAATAGCTGAATCTTTCTCAGAAGGATACATAGAAGAGAAATTTGAGGTGGATAGAAGGAAAGTTGGTGTGAAAGGGAATGGGGAACAGAGCAGATCAGGAGTAGGGGATCATATGCAGGGAGAGTGGGAGCGAGAAGGGAAACTGGCAGCAAGGAGACTCTAGATTGTGACAAAGACTTGAGATGGGCGAGGTCCTGGAAGTCTATAGGGCAACTCTAGATGAGACTACTAGCAGTGGCAGATATACATTCTGAACTACTTCCTGTAGCCAGACAGAATCACCAGTGGAGGAATAAAGACAGTAACCTATCCACAAAGGCTTCAACTCAAAATGTGTCCTGCCTATGATATGTGCAGAGACAAAGATAGAGCAGATACTGAGGGCATAGCCAACCAATGTCTGCCCCAGTTTGAGAATCATCTCTTGGGTAAGAACTAATCCCTGACACTATTAATAATACTTTGATATGCTTGAAGATAAAAGCCAAAAATAACTGTCCTCTGGGAGGCCTCATTGTACTACCAATGGAAAAAAATATAGAGACCCACAGTCAAACATTAGATGGGGCTTTGGGAGTCTTATGAAAGAGTTGGGGGAAGGAATGAGGAACTGGAAAAGGACAAGGACTCCACAGGAAAACCAGCAGAGTCAACTAACTTAGACTCTTTTAGCTTCCAGAGATTTAATCATCAACTGAAGAGCGAATATGGGCTGTAACTAGGGTCCCTGCATATATGTAGCAGATGGGCAACTTTGTCTTCATGTGGGGCCCCCAACAACAGGAGAAGGGACTCTCTCTGAATCTTTTGCCTGCCTTCATATTGATCTCATTCCCCTAAATGGTCCACCTTTTCTCAAGGGGAGAGGATGTGCCTAGTGCTATAGTGACTTAATGTGCTGGGGGTGGGTGGGCTGATAACGGGGTGGCAGTTTTGGGCTTATAACTAGAGGAGGATCCTTCTTCAAGGAGAAGGGAAGGGAGTAATAAGGGAAGGTTCTGTGTGAGGGGGTGCTGAGAGGAGAAGGGGGACTGATATTAGCATATAAAATGAATACATTAATAAATTTAACTTACAAAAGTAATTGACAGTTTTTTGTTTGGTTTGGTTTTGTGCTTGTATTCAATTTATTATCTATATTGCATTGTCAAAAACAAAATTAAATTTCAATAACTGACATGAGGTGTTTCTAAATTTGAACAAAGACAAATTCTTCAAATGATAATTTTTTGGATTTTTTTAATACATACTTTTGTTCATGTATTTATGGATTTAGTGCCTGTGTGTGTATTATGTGAGAATGCATGTTATGTCACATGTGTGGTAGTCAGAGGAAAGAATGCAGCTGTCAGTTCTCTCCTCCCACCATCTAGGTCCCAATAATTAAATTCAAATCATCAGGTTGGCAGCATGTGGCTTAACTAGCTGAGTCATATTATTGTCCTCTTGTAGATTTTGAACAATGACACAATCTTTTTGGATAATTAGACGTAATGTGCCCATGGGTCGCATGCAGCCAAGTATAGGTAATACTGTAGTCCAATACAACATCGTAACCATGGTTAAAACATGATGAGATGATTTTTATTTGGTCATTTATAAAGTAACTTGATGTGTGAGACCGAAACATGAATTTTGTATATAGAATGTTATGTTGTAATAGTAAAAGATTGAACACACATCCAAGACATTGTAGAAAAAGTCAAAGCATTGTCTGACTGGATACACTTGATACTTTCTCAAGCTTCATAGTAAAGTCCCAACTCTTTTGTTACTTCAGAAAATTTACATAGAAGAAAATTGTCAACCAACCTCTGCCCACTCAGTAGAACCTAGAAGGCCAAATTCTTCTGCATCCCAGCTTGCAAACAAAATTGTTCTTCTAGGTCTCCATCCTAGAATACATGTGAATATCATATAAATTCTTGAAAAGTACATAGCACAGATGATGTATACAGAGATGTCGCCAAGATGGGAAATCACAAAATGCTGGGATTTTTTTTTTATTGTAAAAGTAGAAATTGTTGCTCTCACCCTTAGTTCAATAAATTCATTTTGCATGTTTTTAAAATGGGACTTGCTTGAATCAAATAGTGTAGTTGTATTGCAAAAGGAAGAATGTAGACGGTGAATGTCTCATGAAGTCATAAGATATTTTATGTTTTATAATTGCCCTCTGATCTACGGATGCCTAGCAGCAGAGGGAGAAACCACTGGCAGAGCCAGTGCTGCTGTGGCACGCAGAAGTGTGGGAAACTATTTCAAAACCTCCTATGTTGTTCTGAAATAGCATGATCATCTGCTTCTGTGATAGTTATCAATGGCTCACTTTTAGATAGAAGTATCTGCTGACAGTGAAAACCTTACACTTTGATAAGTAGGTATCTGAGGTAACTATGAATGACCTTGGAGTTGAAGAAAAATATACCTTTGTACTCTCATTCTCACACTTCCTAGATGCTAGTAAGACTCTACCATACAAGCTGACTAAGCCCTCATGTCTTCATCTAAGAAGCACTATAGCAGAATAAGGAGTAGATAAAATTTGATTATCAGGAGCATTAAGTGGAATAGTATTTCAGAAGCACTTAGTAAGTGCTAGAAAGTCCTTGTAAATACTTCAAATATATTTATTAAATATATTCATGGGGCTGGAGAGATGGCTCAGCAGTTAAGAGCACTGTCTGCTCTTCCACAAGTCCTGAGTTCAATTCCCAGGAACCACATGGTGGCTCACAACTATCTATAATAGGATCTGATGTCCTTTGCTGGTGTGTCAGAAAGTGAAAGCTGAGCAGTGGTAGTGCGCACCTTTATTCTTAGCTTTTTGGGTAGCAGAGTTAGGCTGATCTCTGAGTTTGAGACCGGCTTGACCTACAGAGTGAGTACCAGGACATTCAAGGTTGTTACAGGAGGAGAGGGGAGGGGAGGGCAGAGGAGGGGGAGGGGAGGGGAGGAGGAGAGGAGAGGAGAGGAGAGGAGAGGAGAGGACAGGACAGGACAGGACAGGACAGGACAGGACAGGACAGGACAGGACAGGAGAGGAGAGAATATTTCCTATTTCCTATAACTATTGAATTCAATGGTTTCTTTCTGTCTAATGTATTATGTATCATTTAAATTCCCTATCCACTCATCCCTTACCACTTCATTTCTTGAGTACACCCCTTACTTATAACAATGCTGATTTTTATTCAATGTAAAATTTTTCTTGTGAAATCATGAAACCTTTTGTGATAAGATTAAATATAACCAAGTTCATGAACAGTGTACATACTCCTCTGGCAAATTTGTTTGTTAAAATGTAAGTGGTGCACTTCTGTCTTATTTTAAACAAAGATAACATAAGTTGGCCATGTCCCAACCAGAATTTTGAATTCTGTCACATATTACTTGGCAAATATCTATAAAATGGGAACAAAACTCAGAAAATGTCTCAAGGGTTGCTATGGCATCAAAATAGAGCACATATGTGTAAACAATTTATCAGTATGCAAAGTAAACATATGTTATTATTGTTGATTTATAGCTAAGAGCTATAAGATGTTTCTGGTTGTAAAGGTACTTGCTGCCAAGACTGACAGCAGGAGTTTGAAACCCCCCTGGAATTCAGAACTGTTTATTTCAGATTGTCAGTTTATGATAAATATCCTATAAACTTTATAATTTAATGAAAATAATACAAATATAGTTAACCAAAATTAATGTTTGCATTATATTTCTACTTTTTCATTGACGAGGTTGAGTGGGCATTTATATATTTGGTTTTCTACTGTGTACTAGGGATCTAGGGAAGTGATTTGTCATCCAAAGCACATGATCTAACATTCAGCTACTTCCAAGACCCTGAGATAGTACTTTTACACTCATTTTGCAAAAGATTAAGCTGAAGTTCCCAGAAGTTGGTTTTTCACTCACATTTTCTCTTACCTTTCTTCTTCAGGGTTCCAAAGCTCCTCACAATTTCATGAACAACAGCTGCTCCACTCTGAGGGTCAATGCCCCCAAACACCCAAGCATCTCGGTGACCTCCAAGAATGACATATCTGTCTACAAATCAATAGATCATGGATCTCAGACAGAGGAACACACAAATAACTCAATAGTTTTTACAACTTCGAGGAAAAATATAAAGATTCCTAAGGATCATGCCCATTGGTTATTTGCTCAGATTTCACCATTTGTTTCATCTAACTGATGAGAGTATGAATGTGACTTAAAAATTAATTGAATGTATTATTGAAGTTATAACAGAAACATAAGAAATTATCTGTCTAGCTCCTCAAAATTCTTTAAATCTGTTGCCACTTTGTTACCATCATTTTCACGGAGAACACAACTTTTACCTTCTTAAACCTATTACATATGCCAGTCATTAACTGTCTATAACCATTTCTATTATAGGAAGAAAAATAAGATTGGGTTGAAAGTTTGGGAAACAATCTTTTCACATTAGTTTAGGTATTTATCACCCTTAAATATCAAACTCTTCTTTTCAATCATGATCACCTTGACCCTAGTTTATGAGTGTTTCAACGCTCCCCGAATTGCCATGTTTGTCACAGACCCTGTACAAAATAATCATCTTGTAATATTCAATAAGTCACTTATATATACTCATATATATATATGTACATATGTAAACTGTATACGTGCATAATATATATACATATATGCATAAACTAAATGTATATGTACATATATGCATAAATTAACTATATGTGTGAAGATAAAACACATATAACTATAATGTGTATATAGTTTACATGTGTATGCAAAACACAAATATTGTTTAGTACATATAAGCATTAATTTTATAAAACTATTAATTCCTAAGTAAGAGGTTGTTTATCCTTCTTACACTACTCCATATAACAATTTCCACATTTGAAAGGAAATAATGTAAAATTGAGTCCAATTACATGAGAACTTGTCTCAAAAAACAAATAAGCAGCATATGTTTGTAAGAAATATATGTGATTAAATTGTACTATTTATGTTAAAGCTAATAATAATCAAGTAATTCATAAGAAATCCAGTCCTAAATCCTAAAGAATTGAAAGATACAATAAAATATGCATAATTATCCAACTGAGTCTCGCAATATATCTGAACCACACTTAAGGAAGGCACCATGCTCAGCAGTAGTCAGTCAACAGAAAATGAAATTAGTAGTACTGTTGGAGATTATTTTGTCTCATATTGCTTTGTTTGGGCAATTTTCAACCTTTCTGATCTTTTGTTTATGAATATTTATAAATATTTTCTGATTTTTTATGGGTTTTGTGCATGTTTATATACTGCTCATGGTTCTTTTTTCTCTCTCTTCTTTTAAACTGTATTTTTAAAATTTTATTTGTTTGTTTGTTTGTCTGTGTGCCTATTTGTTTTATAAAGACAGAAAGATGTAAAGCATGGAGATATGTGGACAGGAAGGTAGGAAGGATCTGCTAGGTAATAAGGGATAGGAACATATGATTAGAACATGATGTACAAAACAGTTTTCAACAATAAATAAGCAAACAAATAAAGCAGCTTATCACTCTCATTTGTTCCCATACTTTCCCGTTTCTGTTCTTGCAACACATGTGATGAAAGATACAATATAATTGGAACGTCTTACTCTGTTTTTGGATGAGCTTCACTCAGGCAGCAGTGGTACATGACATTTGATTCACCAATATTTGCAAAACACATACTCCATTTACCTGGTTCCAGAGCTCCTTTGAGGGTGCCAATGACATTATAGATTCTTGTGACTTGACTGTAGGAGTGAATATGCAGCTTGACCTTTCTAATTCAAATATAAAATAATATACTGACTGAGAATACTAGTTAAGAGATTTAACACTCACGTTCCTTAAATCCTCCATCATTATTTAAAAAGATCCATAGTTGTTCCCAAAAGAAAAGTAACACCATTCTTTTAAAATCTTTTTTTACACTCCAGTCATTATCTCCCTCCCAGTTTGTCCTCTTAGGGTTCCTCATCCCATTCCCCCTTCCCCTGTCTCCAAGAGAATATCCACTCTCCAACCCTACCCATCAGACTTCCTCACTCTCTGGGGCCTCAAGTCTTTTCAGAGTTAGGTGCATCTTCTCTCATTGAGGCCAGAACAGGCAGTTTTCTGGTGTATATGTGTTGGGGGCCCTTGGAAAACTTTGTATATGGTGCCTGGTCGATGGCTCAGTGTCTGAGAGATCTCAGGGATCTCAGCCATCTCAACTAACACTGACTAATTTTAATGATCTAAAATAATTGTCTTATTCAACTTCTAGTTTTACTGCTTTAACTTTTTCTTCATCTTCAATAATTGTCTTCTTTTAAAGTATTCTGAATAAAAGCATCATAAAATATCTCAACTGTGTTGAAAAGTTTCCAGCAAAGCCAGGTCCCACGTTGTAAGGCACTTTTAGTCCTCCCTTCCAACTGCTGTCAGGGGGTGCTGAGCCACCCATGTGTCTGTTGGGTATGAAAAGAAATTATTATCTACATAAACTTTGATATACCACATTAAAATGCCAGGTCATCTGCTGGCCTAGCTTGTCTTCTCATAATAGCTTCTATAAGAAAACAGTAGAACAAAGTGCTTTGCATATAATAACCACTGACCTTCCCTGTCTCTCCTGCAAGGGAGTGTCCAGTATCAATTCAACTTTGCAATAATAAAATATGTCTCTGGGGGTATTTCATCTTGTCCAAGATCAATTAAACAAGTGAAAGCTGATGCTGTTGAGGATGCGGAATAAGATTAACACACATCCATTGCAGGTGGGAGTAAAACTTTATATAGCCATTTTCAAAATTACTGTACCAGTTCCTTTAGATACTGGGAATGGATCTACTTTAAATTAAACATAATCATTTTTAGAAGTATACCCAAAGGACTCAATATCTTACTTCAGAAACAATTGCTCAATCATTCCCATTGCCGTTCTATTTATAACAGCAAGAAACTACAAACATTGCAGATGCCCATTGACAGATAAAGGACTAATGATAATATTCAGCTCCTAATAATGAAATCATTAAATTGGCAAGTAAAAAAGAAATGAAGCTAAGAAAATTAACCAGGAACCAGCAAAACATATAGTATATATTCTCTTATATATGAATATTAGCTTAAGTATTCAATAGACATGCTGCTATCTGTATAAGAACAGAAATTAGGAATTCAGAGTTTAAGGGGGCTTGAAGGAACTGTTAAAGTAGGGGAAATAGAATATACAGTTATGAAGAGACAGAGGGAGATTATAATGGGGAGATTAAATAAACAGAGGAGGGTGGTCTGCTCCCCAGAGCTGACACTGTGCCATAGCTCTCTGTACCCAGATTCCACTGTGAGAGAGCAGGACTCCCAGGAGTGCTGACACACTTGAGAACACAGATCTCCATTCCCAGGTCCTGCCAGGGCAGAGATAGAAAACCTAGGATCAGGAGACATGAATGCAAGCATCACCAACAGAATACAGGAAATAGAAGAGAAGATCTCAGGTGCAGAAGATACCCTAGAAAACATTGACACAACAGTCAAAGAACATGTAAATGCAAAAAGCTACTAACTCAAAATATCCAGGACAAAATGAGAAGACCAAATCTAAGGATAATAGGTATAGAAGAGAGCAAAGATTCCCAACTTAAAGGGCCAGTGAACATTTTCAACAAAATTAAGAAGGAAGCTTCCCTAATTTAAAGACAGAGATGCCCACAAACATACAAGAAGCTTACAGAACTCCAAATAGGTTGGACCACAAAAGAAATTCCTCCCATCACATAATAATTAAAACACCAAATGCACAGAACAAAGAAAGAATATTAAAAACTGTACGGGAAAAAGGTTAAGCAACACATGAAGGCAGACCTATCAGAATTATACAAGACTTCTCACCAGAGACTATAAAAGCTAGAAGATCCCAGGGAGATTTCATACAGAACCTAGAGAACATAAATGCCAATTCAGGCTATTATACCAAGCATAACTCTCAATTACTATAGATGTAGAAATTAAGATATCCCATGATAAAACAAATTTACACAATATCTTTCCACAAATCCAGCCCTACAAAGGAAAAGAAATGGAAAATACAAGGAGGATAACTACATCTTAAAAAAAGCAAAAAAATAATCTTCCAACAAACGCCAAAGAAGAGAGCCACACAAATATAATTCTGCCTCTAACCCCCCTCCCAAAATGAAGCAATAATTCCTTAATATCTCAACATCAATCAACTCAATTCCCCAATAAAAAGATGTAGACTAACAGACTGGATACATCAACAGGACCCAGAATTTTGTTGCATACAGGAAACTCACCTCAGTGACAAAAACAATCACTACCTCAGAATAAAAGGCTGGAAAACAATTTTCCAAGCAAGTGGTCCCAAGAAACAAGCTGGAGTAGCCATTCTAATATCAAATAAAATCGACTTTCAACCAAAAGTTATCAAAAAAGCTAAGGAAGGATACTTCATATTCATCAAAGAAAAAAATCTACCAAGATGACCCCTCAATTCTGAATATCTATGCTCTAAATGCAAGGACATCAACATTCATAAAAGAAACTTTACTGAAGCTCAAAGCACACATTGCACATCACACAACAATAGTGGGAGACTTCAACACCCCACTCTCGTCAATGGACAGATCATGGAAACAGAAACTAAACAGAGATGCAATGAAACTAACAAAAGTTATGAACAAATTGGTTTCAACAGATATCTATAGAATATTCCATCCTAAAACAAAAGAATATCCCTTCTGGGCACCTCATGATACTTTCTCCAAAATTTACCATATAATTGGTCACAAAACAATACTCAACAAATACAGGAAGATGGAAATAATCCCATGCTTCCTATGAGATCATCACAAACTAAAGCTAGTCTACAATAACAACAAAAAAACCCAGAAAGTCCACATACACATGAAACATGAACAATGTTCTATGCAAGGATAACTTGGTCAAGGAAGAATGAAGAAAGAAATTAAACTCTTTTTAGAATTTAATAAAAATGAAGGCACAACACACCCAAATTTATGGGATACAATGAAAACAATACTGAAAAGAAAACACATAGCTCTGAGTGCCTCCAAAAAGAAACTGGAGAACATACAGTAGCAGTTTAACAGCACACCTGAAAGCACTAGAAAAAAATCAAATATACCCAAGAGGAGTAGACATCTGGAAATAAACTCAGGGATGAAATCAACTAAATAGAATAAAAATATCTATGCAAAGAATCAACAAAACAACAGCTGGTTCTTTGAAAAAATCAACAAAAAAAGATAAACCTTTAGGCATACTAACCAGAGGGCACAGAGACAATATCAAAATTAATAAAATCAGAAATGGAACAGGAGATATAACAACAGAATCTTAAGAAATTCAAAAAAATGATCAGATGCTACTAAAAAACCTTATACTCTACCAAATTAGAGAATCTGGGTGAAATGGATAATTTTCTAGACAGATACCAGCTACCAAAGTTAAATCAGGATAAGATAAACCATCTAAACAATCCCATTACCCATAAAGAAATAGAAGCAATCATTAAAAGTCTCTCCACCAAAAAAAGCCCAGGACCAGAAAGATTTAATGCAGAATTCTATCAGATCTTCAAAGAAGATCTAATACCAATACTCTTCAAACTATTCCACAAAATAAAAACAGATGGACCACCACCCAATTCGTTTTATGAATCCACAGTTACGCTGATATCTAAACCACACAAAGACCCAACAAAGAAAGAGAATTTGAGACCAATTTTTTTTATGAATATCTCTGCAAAACTACTCAATAAAATTCTAACAAAGCAAATCCAAGGACACATCAAAATGATCATTTAAAAAGGAAGTTTCATCCCAGGGATACAGTGATGGTTCAATATACAGAAATGCATCAATATAATCCACTACATAAAAAACTCAAAGAAAAAAACACATAATCATTTGATTAGATGCTGAGAAAGCATTTGACAAAATTCATCATGTCTTCATGTTAAAAGTGTTGGAAATATTAAGAGTTCAAGACCCATACCTAAACATAGTGAAAGCAATATACAGTAAAACAGTAGCCAACATCAAACTAAATGGAGAGAAACTTGAAGCAACTACACTAAAATCAGGGACTAGACAAGGCTTCCCACTCTCTTCCTATCTATTCAATATAGTACTGGAAGTTCTAGCTAGAGTAATTAGGCAACAAAGGGAGGTCAAGTGTATACAACCTGGAAAGGAACAAATCAAGATATCACTATATGCAGATGATATGGTAGTATACTTACGACCCCAAAAATTCCATCAGAGAACTCTTATAGTTGATAAACAACTTCAGCAAAGTATCTGGATATCAAATTAACTCAAACAAATCAGTAGCCTTCCTAAACTCAAAGGATAAATGGAATGAGAAAGAAATCAGGGAAACTACACCCTTCACAATAGTCACAAACAATATAAAATATCTTGGTGTGACTTTAACCAAACAAGTGAAAGATCTGTACAACAATAATTTCAAGTCTCTGAAGAAAGAAATTGAAGAAGCCCTCAGAAGATAGAAGGATCTCTCATGCTTTAGATTGGCAGGATTAATATAGCAAAAATGGCCATCTTACAGAAAACAATCTGCAGATTCAATGCAATCCCTATAAAAATACAACTCAATTCTTCATAGAGTTAGAAAGAGTAATTCTAAAATGTACTAGGAGTAACAAAAAACTCAGGATAGTGAAAACTGCTCTCAACAATAAAAGAACATCTGGGGAAATCACCATCCCTTACCTCAATCAGTACTGCAGAGCAATAGTGATAATAACTGCATGTAATTGTTACAGTGACTGTCAGGTATATTAAATGGAAGAGAATTGAAGATCCTGAAATGAACCCACACACCTATGGTCACTTGATCTCTGATAAAGTAGTTAAAACTATCCAGTGGAAAAAGGACAGCATTTTCAACAAAGGGTACTGGTGCAACTGGAGGTAAGCATGTAGAAGAATGCAAAGTGATCCATTTTTATCTCCCTGTAAAAAGCTCAAGTCCAAGTGGATCAAGGACATCCACATAAAACCAAATAAACTGAATCTAATAGAAGAGAATGTGGGGAAGATCCTGGAATGTATGAGCATAAGGGAAAATTTCCTGAACAGGGCACCAATGGCTTATGCTCTAAGATCAAGATTCAGCAAATGGGACCCCATAAAATTTGAAAGCTTCTGTAAGACAACGGACATTGTCAATAGGAAAAATGGTGACCAACAGTTTGAGAAATGATCTTTACTAATCCATCATAAGATAGAGAACTAATTTCCAATATATACAAATAGCTCTAGAAGTTAGGCTCCAGAGAACCAAATAACCCTATTAAAAATGGGGAACAGAGCTAAACAGAGAATTCTCAACTGAGGAAACATGGATGTCTGAGAAGCACCTAAAGAAATGTTCAACATCCTTAGTCACGAGGAAAATGCAAATCAAAACAACCCTGAGATTTTACGTCACACCAGTCTGAATGACTAAGATCAAAAACTCAGGTGACAGCAGATGCTGGTGAGAATGTGGAGAAAGAGGAACACTCCTCCATTGCTGGTGGGATTGCAAGCTGGTATAACCACTCTGGAAATCAGTCTGCAGGTTCCTCAGAAAATTTGACATAGTACTACCTGAGGACCCAGATATACTACTCCTGGGCATATACCCCATAGATGCTCCATGAAATAAGGAGACATGCTCCACTATGTTCATAGCAGCCTTATCTATAATAGTCAGAAGCTGGAAACAACCCAGATGTCCCTCAACAGAGGAATGGATATAGAAAATGGGGTACATTGCATAACAGCATACAAATCAGCTATTAAAAACAATAGCTTCATGAAATTCACAGCATATTGATGGATCCAGAGAATATCATTCCAAGTGAGGTAACTTAGTCACAAAAGAACACACATGGTCTGTACTCACTGATAAGTGGATATTAGGCTAAGAGTGTGGAATACTCATGATACCACTCATGGACCACATGAAACTCAAAAGGAAGATAGACCAAAGTGTTGATACTACAGTCCTACTTAGAAGAGGGGACAAAATAATCACTGGAAGTAGAGGGACTTGGGAGAAGAAGAAAAGGGGAGGAGTAAAAAGAGGTGAAGAATCAGGTATGAGAGGAGATGGACGTACAGAGGGTTAGGAAATTGAACAGAAGTGTGTAGCAATGGGGGATATGGAATTGATGGTAGCAACCAGAAACTCCCAGATGCCAGGAAAGCAAGAGCCTCCCAGGACCCCACAGGGATGACATTAGATGAAACACCCCACAAAGGTAAAGTTGAGACCATAGTTAAAGGTTAGGCATGACTCCCACCCTGCCCCAGTTGAGTGATGGGGCCACCTACCCATCTCTAAAATTTTTACCCAAATTTTTCTTGTCTAAAGTAACTACAGGGACAAAGAGTGGAGCAGAGACTAAAAGAAAGGCCATCCAGAGACTGCCCCACCCGGGGATCCATCCACATGTAGACACTAAACCCAGATACTATTGCAGATGCCAAGAAGTGCTTGCTGACAGGAGCCTAATACAGCTGTCTCCTGTGAGGCTCTGCCAGAGCCTGACCAAGACAGATGTGAATGCTCACAGCCAACCATCAGACTGAGTACAAGGATCCCAATGGAAGAGTTAGGGGAAGGACTGAAGAAGCTGAAGCGGCCTTTTCTGGCATCAATGAGAGGCAGGTCCTTGGTCTTGTGAAGGCTTGATGTCCCAGTGTAGAAGAATGCTAGGGTGACAAGGTAGAAGTGGGTAGGTGGGTGGGGGAGCACCCTCATAGAAGCAGGGTAAGGGGTGATGGGATAGGAAGTTTGCAGAGGGGAAAGTGGGAAAGGGAATAATATTTGAAATGTAAATAATAAAATATTCAATTAAAAAACAAATAAAATCATATATTTGTCTCTTGGGAAAAAAACAGAGGGCAAAGGGAGGTAAGGAAGGGAATATGGGGAGGGACTACCAACAGTAAGCACAACTTGAAGGGTCACATAGAAATGTACAACAGTATAAACTTATTAAAATATAAACATATATGAAATAAGTCTTAATGGAAACACCAAATAATGGGGAGCTAAAGCCCCAACTAGACATTTCTTGCCATGAATTACTCTAACTTACTCTAAGAGTTTCTGTGCATCATCATATCCAATTGGATGGACAGGAATACTTGGAAGGCCAACAGCCTCTGTCAACTCACTCCTATAAGCATGTTCTGAGGGGAAAAAAGGCATAATTGTTCATTAAAAACAGTGTTTTTCAAATGGGCTTTTGTAAATAAGATTAAACAAATTCTTCCATATATTCTAGAAATAGTAAAATTCCAAGTGTCAGAAAGAATGTGAGGAAATTGAAACTCTCATTCATATTTGTGGGACATGGTGGTCTAGAATAAGTCTCTTAAAATTGTTAAGCAGGGGCTGGAAGAGAGGGCTCAGTGGTTAACAGCACTGGCTGTTATCTGTTATTTCAGAGGTCTGGAGTTCAATTCCCAGCAACCACATGTGATCTGATGCCCTTATCTGGTATACTGACGTACATGCAGAGAGAACACTCATATACATAAAATAAATAATTATATCTTTAAGAAAATTTTAGAAAAAGAAAAGAAAAAATGTCAAGCAGCATTCTTTGCTTTATAGAAGCTTTTCACTTTCATAGAGTACCATTTACTAATCATTAATCTTAGTGCCTTTGTTATTAGTGTTCTGTTCAGGAAGATATCCCTATGCTAATACATTAAGGCTGTTCTTCTAACAGGTTTAGTGTATCAGGTTTTATGTTAATGTATGTTAAATCAATGTTGATTTGATATATGAGTCAGGGTTCTCTAGAGTCACAGAACTTATGAAATGTTTCTATATTAAAGGATTTTATTGTAATAACTTACAGTCTTTATTTTAACTAATCGAACAATGGACACCAAAAGACTAGTAGTTGCTCAATCCATGAGGCTAGTTGTTTCACTTGGTCTTCTGTATAAGCTGCAATCCTGAAGAAGTAGGTTCCAACAGATGTGGGAAGTAAGTGTAACGTGGGAAAGAAGAGTGAGTCTTCCTTCTTCCAATGTCCTTATGCAAGCCTCTAGAAGACAATGTGGTCCAGATTAAAGGTGTATACCACCACGCCTGGATCTGTAACTTGCTTTGACCCAGGCTGACCTTGAACTCAGAGATCTCCTTGCATCAGTCTTCTTGGATTAAACGGGTGTACTCCTATGCCTGAGCATAAATTTTCATGGCCACTATGCTTCAGGATCTCCATGTCAAGATCTGAGTCAGAAGCCTATGTTTTTCAGCCTCAAGATTAGGATCACAGGTGTGTGCACTCCATTTCTGGACTGTAATTCATTCCAGATGTAGCCAAGCTGACAACCAGAAATAGCCTTCATACTTGAGTTTTGTTTTGTGCAGGATTATAGGTATGGGTCTTTTTGTGTTCTTCTGTATGCAGATATCCAATTAGACCAGCACCATTTGTTGAAGATGGTTTCTTTTTCCCATTGTTCACTTCTGGCTTCTTTATCAAAAATCAGGTGTTCATAGTTGTATGGATTTATTTCTTGGTCTTCAATTTGATTCCATTGATGAACCTGTCTGGTTATATGCTAATATTACTCAGTTTTTGTAACTACAGCTTTGTAATACAGCTTAACATCAGGTACGTTGATACTCCACAAGTTTTTTTTATTGTTCAGGATTGTTTTAGCTATCCTATTTTTTTAAATCTGAAATTGAGTATTACTCTTTAAAGTTCTTTAAAGAATTGTGTTGGAATTTTTATATGGGTTTTGTTTAAACTGTACGTTGTTTTTTATAGGATAGCCATTTTCTAAGATAATCCTACTGATCCATAAGCATGAGAGATCGTTCCATCTACTGATAATTTCTCCAAAGACTTGAAGTTTTATCATATAGGTTTTTCACTTGCGTGGTTAGTTACTCCAAGATATTTTATATAATTTGTGACTATTGTGAAGGGTGTTATTTCCCTGATTTCTTTCTAAGTCCATTTATCATTTGTGTATAGGATGACTATCATTTTTTAAAAATTAATCTTGTATTCAGCCATTCATGGGAACTTGAGGAGACCAGGGGAGCCTTTAGGAGTCTGTCCTATGTTCTCTTCATAATTATATTGACTAAGGAGCTTGGTGCTCTTATGGAAATCCTAACCATGGGAACAGGAGCTGTCCCTGACTCATTTGCCTACTTGTAGGATACTTTTCTTCATACAGGGTTGCCTTATCCAGCCTTGATGTGATGGTACATGCCAGTTTTACTGTAGCTTATTATGCTGCATTTGGGTGCTGTTCCTCAGAGGGAGGCCTGCTTTTTTCAAAGCTGAAGCAGAGGGCAGGTTGATCTGGGAGGGTAAGGGGAAAAGTGAGAGGTTTTAGGGAGGAGAGGAGGAGAAACTGTGTTTGGGATGTAATGGATGAGAGAAGAATTTGAAATATAAAATGAAAGGGAAAGCAAAAAACAAAACAAAGAAAAATGTTAAACAGAGAAGTGCTCTACTGAACATTGCCATTGCTAGTTCTTGACCCAAGAAGAGAGGTGAGGGAATATGGAGTAGGGAGGAGTCAGCTAAAACTAAGGGTCATTTTAAGAAACCCAACACACTACAAGGTTCCTACATATGTGACAAAAATCTAAATGGAATCATCTACTAATAGTGGATACAAAGCCCCTACTAGACATCTTTCTTATTCAAAGGACACTTTTAGTGCTAGGAATGGGTTATGTGTAATGGAGTTCTTGGCCATTGGTTCCATGAAAAAGCCAAAACTACCTGGTTTATTGTTGTGGCTATTAATTGCTCCCCACAAATTGATGGTAAGACCCTATTGCTGAAGACAATATCTACGAAAGTCATTGAATGTGGAGAATTTGAGCTGGTGCCTACCTAGAGCCCTCATTCCCAGAGACTATTGTTCATGGTATTGGAAGGAACTCTACATGATACAAAAGGATAAAGGTAGACACCAAACCAGGTACAATCTACAATAATCACCTGCCTGCAAGATGCTCTATGAAATAGAGGCACAAATATTGAGAGAGCAACAAAACAATATCTGATTGAATTTAATTCCTACTCCATAAATTAGAACCCATTCCCGACATTGCTCACATGGCCAAGAACCTGAAACTGGATAGGCCCTGGACCCAGAAGACAATCAAATAATACTTTTCTGTTAAAGGAATGTAACAATAAAATCTCTCCAAATATCATTCTGCTATTGTCTTAGACCAATGATTCACTTAGACGTCATCAAAGAAACTTACTCTTTCAATAGATTCAAAAAAGGATAATATGGAGAGCAACCTTAGAACATTCAGTCCTAAAAAGAATGTCTCCATTGCATCCTTCCTTCATGTGTCAAAGAATCCTCCAGAAGAAGAGGCAGAAAGATTTTAAGAAGAGGGGATGAAGAATACCAATGAAACAAGATTTTCTAAATATAACATAAACGATACACATATGAACTCTCAGAGACTGTAGCAGCATGCACAGGGTCTTCATATGTCTGTGCTAGATGGGTGTTTAGAGTTCAAAGGAGGAGACAAACCCTCTCTCTATCTGTAATATCTCCAATAGACAGTCAATCACTAATGAAAAATTAAAATTAAAATAAAAAACATTAAAATTAATTAAAATTCTCCAAGAGAATTTTTTTGGGGAAACAAAGCATTCTTAAGAACAGTCTCAATATCCAACAGAAAATGACTAATAAAAAAATGTACTCAATGGTATCTTTGAAGGTTCTTAGTCTCATAATTCTTTTTGGGGATTATTTTTGCCCTATGGTCCCTTCGCATATATATATACCTATTCCAGTTTTGTGTTTTTAAGGGATTCCTGTAGGTACCTTTGCATCTATATACATTTCTTGTTCTTTTTCTTTGGCTTTTTACTTTCTGTTTGTTTTATCGTATTACAATTTATTTGATTTTCTTTCATCTTACTTTATTTTTTAGATATCTATTTGTTTTTTGAATAAGACAGAAAGAGTGTGGGTTCAGATGGGAGGGAATGTGGGCAGGGCCTTAACTCAGAGGAATTGAGAGAAAGGAAAGCATAATGAGAATAGTTTGTATGGAAAAAATCTATTTTCAATAAAAATAAAATAGAGAAAAGGAAAAATTTAAATGAGCATGAAAATTTAGGGGTCTCAAAAGTGACGAATGTTATCCATTCAGATTACATGTCTTCCTGCAAAAAGTCCATCATTTTAAATGTCCATATCATAAATAGAAGTTCAAATTTATTTTATTTTCACAATTTTAGCTTAATAGGCATAACATGTTAGAAGAAACCTTTTTAAATGTAGGAATGAAAAGATAGAGTAAATAAAATCTCATGGCATTTCTTTCCATTTACACGTCCCTTTATATGTTTATATTGGAGGGTTCTTATCTTTATGTATTCTTTGAAAATTTCATGCACATGTGTATATATATTTTGATTGTATTTATTCCTTCTCCTTCCCTCCAACTTCTCATGAGCCTTGTATTAATAACCACTGATGTCATTTAATACTGCTTCTATGTAGATGAAGGTGGGATTATATCCCGAATCATGGGATGCTGCCGATCAAAATGTGACTGCTTAACAGTAGACTAATATGAAGTTATTTTAAATAATGAACATATCTATGTCATTGCGCTGTGTTTTAACAATGATTTAAAAACCCTCCAAACATAAGCTTTTCAGATATATATGATTTGATAGTTCAGAAATGAATAATCAATATATAAACATCATATGTACATGGGCAAACTCTTTTATCTGTTATAAAAACTTGCTCTGTTCCAAACTATGCAAACTAAGTAAACACAGATTTTGTAGATATCATCTGATATCTGAATGCACACAAAACAATTTAGCTTGTTTGTTAATACTTGACTAGGCAGTGTTTCATCAGAAGACAAGAATGTGGACTCTGAGAGCACACTGTGACTTTGAACTCCAGTGCCCTGGTGTAGTGAATATGGCCAGACTGTTAACAGTATCATTTTACTCCGAGACAGAGATCATAATTCCTCATGCCCATAATGCTGTTAAGGTATTCAGAAGCTGTCATTTAGGAAACATTACTTGGCAATTTTTACTTATCATTGTAAAGCAGCAAAGGCTTCTGTGTCTTTAATCCACGGTCTAGACTCTGTATCCTCAGTGAACTATCTGATCACTTTTTGAGGCCTTTTGATTTTCTATTCATTACTATAAAATTAAAAATTACCCTCATGAAAATTATAACTTTGGAGTACATTTCTTTAATTAGAATAGCCAACCTGGCCAAAACTCATGGTCAGAAAAAAAGCAGCCTAGAAAAGACATGAGTCCACTCATATTCCTTTTAACTCACATTCAATGTTGGTATTTATACATGCTGCTACAAAATTATTTTAAATATATTCTTGTTGTGCTCTATCTCTACCCACATATAAGTAACGTGTATTATATTAAACATAGATAATATTACATTTTAATATTTCAAAAAGTCAGAGTTCCAAAGCAATCAAGTTGCAGTCTTAAATTATGGGGTAAGGAACATGATCAGATAAGTTTAGAAATTGAAATGTTTTTATTTCTAGGATGAAAAAGAATAAGAAAAATATGTTCTTAGTCATTTTAACCAAGAAATTTTTTATGTCATTTGAAATGACCAACTGATATGATGGTTGGGATCTGTTCACTCACCATTTGCTGGGTAACCTGGTGTGAGGGGATCACCGGCACCATTAAGATTTAAGACATTTCCACGTTGGACACCACCTCCAGGGAGGTTCCAGCCATCTGGATAGGACTTCACCCCAGGAACAAAGTAGTCAGCAGGGTCTGAGTATAGAATGATTCCTTTGGCACCTGCCAGTTGAGCATTTTTAACCTGGAAAACAGTTTTTTTTCCCCTCAGTTTAGGTAAGTTGCTACAGACTTAAAAACAGCAGATGCCAAAAATCACATTACATAAATAGTTAACCTTCATCTTCTGTTTTAAAGACCAGGTCTCACTGAGATTACAAGGCTGAACATTAATTCACTCTGTAGCTAAGGAAGGGCTTAAACTTGAATTCTTCCTGTCTCAGAGTCTCAACTGGCTTCAACTAAGTGCCAATAGGCATAGATCCCATGTTATGGTCCAAAAATGGATGTCTTTGCTGAGTAGCAAACATAGAATACTCTCAGCCCAGTGAGAACAAGAATTTACTATCCCCTCTTGTTTTCTAGAAACAGAATAAGCACTTAGAATCTCTAAGCCAAGTTACCATTAAATGTATGACTGAAAAGGAATAAAGACTTGTTGTACTACCTATAATAATGATCCATGTTGAATTTAATTAGAAAAACTTTGAAGATAATATATAAAACAAAGGTACTGGAAACTAGTAGGAAACCCATCGTGAGTTTCTTTGTGTTTGTTGGTAGGTCAAAGAATCTTACAGGTACAGAACACATGCTGCATTCACTTTGGCAAATACAGACAGAATTTCAGCAACACAACTCAAAAACACTTTCTTCATTAGTGTGTCTTCCTTATAAAGTGGAATGTACAGAGATAAGAGGATCATGATCTCAGAAAAAAATGTAAAATATATCATATTACAATATTTTAGGTTAGGGAAAGAGATGAACTTTAAAAGTGTTATCAACTTATATGAGTTGTGAAAAACAGTGGAATTAATTATAGCAAATCCATACATGAATAGCATGCTCAGATTATAGTCATATACCTATGAACCTATCTCCCTTCATCATTTCTGTTTCTCCCCTCCTTACTAACAAATAGGCCCATCACTTCTACTTATCTGTATGTGCTTTGTTCTTACTTTTTTGAATCAAGATTTTACTTATAAGGAAACAACACGTTATTTATCTATTTAACTTAACGCTATGATCTCCAGTCTCTCTACTATCCGGAAAGGACATCATTTATTTACCTTATTTCCTCTAAACACTTTCCCATATCTGGCAATCACAATCTTCCCAGAACAATTGATCTTCATTTCCCGTTCCAGTTTAAAGAAGTCTTCAGTTCGTGCATAGTTGACGTACACTAGATCCCCCTGTTGACATCAGGAATGATTTAGTATAAAATGTAGCATATGGTGGTATCACAGAATGACAGATGTTTGATATTTAAATGAGGAATAAAGCTAAAACACCCAAGAGGGCTATGACAGATGAGCCTTAACTCAGACAATCAAAGGAAAGGTTAACTTAAACTGAAAACGTAATGTGACAGGTTGAGAGACACATGAATTAAATGATAAATTTTGCCTTTTCTTTTCCTGAATAAGTAAAGATATAGAAATATTGCTAAAAGAATTATGTAAGTATTCAAGTTGCTACATTTAATCTGAAAAATATCAGTTACCATAGGTTGAGCAGCATTTGATGAAAGAAAGTTTTCTGTTCTTTAGAGTACACACTCAAATTGGAGCACAGTGAGTCTTCACAAACCTCAGAGACCAAAAAAGTCTCTGTATTTCAGGCCTTGTTTTAATCGTTTGTATGATCACATGCAAGCATCGTGTCATCCTTTTTTTTAATTAATTTATTTATTATATGTAAGTAGACTGTCACTGTCTTCAGACACCCATATGAGGGCATCAGATCTCATTGCAGATGGTTGTGAGCCACCATGTGGTTGCTGGGATTTGAACTCATAACCTCTAGAAGAGCAGTCAGTGCTCTTAACCACTGAGCCATCTCACCAGCCCCTGCATCGTGTCATCCTTAAGTCTGAACACTAACATTGTCATTTGTAAAGAGACTTTCCAAAATGCTTTTCATCCAATAATCTAGACCAAAAGAAATTCTGAAAAGTAACATACACATTCATTTTTTTGCACAGATATCTAAAAAAAAAAAATGTTAATCTTACCTTTATAAAACAAAGTGCCTGCAATGTAACACCATTTCCAGCATAATATAAATAGCAACATTTTAGAAACAATTACATAGGTGTTCATTTATATCTAAAGGAATTTAAAAACTACTTGTACATATTTACTACTTAATTATTTCCATTTTAAAAATATGAATAAGGTATGAAAATGTAGATTAGGGGTATAACATTTACACAGAATGTATCAGGCTCTAGGCTCAACAAACAATACCATAAAAATATTAATTATAATCAAAAGCACAAACCCACATGTATTTTGCTGTACTGTTATAATTTCGCCAATCCCTTTTTCCCTTAAACATTAACTTAGAAACGTTTTGCTATGGGCTGGCTCTAAAATACACTTCCAAGATTCCGCTTCAGTTAATGATCTACTTTGGGTGCATGGGAAACTCTTCAAAAGAATATAAGAGCTGGGGATGGAGATAAATGCTCTAAAATGGTGGCAGTTGCATTCAGGAACTCTGAGCCCCCATGGTTATCAGCATAAGAATAAGCCAGCCAAAATTCCTTCATAGATGGGTGAAGCCCCGCCTTTTAGGAACTAATGGCAGTTGTTAACTGATAAAAGAGAGAGAATCACTCTTTCATGAAAGAGTGGCTACTGGTAGGTTCCCTAGGCTCCTGGAGATGACTTCACAACTATGCATATATTGGTACCACTAACTTGTCATCCAAAAAAAGAAAGATAGTAAAAGAGAGAGAGGAGAGGACAGGAGAGAGAAGAAAGGAGAGGGAAATACAAAAGGAAACATATTAAATTGGTCTGTTCACAGTTCTTAACTTTACCAGTAAGTTCTCACTCAAAAATAGTAATACTCATAATTTTAGGAAAGATATCTCCTTTAAATGTTACAAAATAATAGCTATTTTTTAAAATAAAACTACACTCATCATAAAAGAAATTAATCTGGAGATGGAATTAGGGAAGACATTGGTTTAAAACCTTGCAAACAAAAGTACCAAATACATGACCTTCTATGAAAGTTGTATTCACAGTAACAAAACCACTTTGTTTTTAGACAATGGTCTTCTTGTATGACTTACACTGTGCTATCGTTCTATGACTATGAATAAAATTATACCCTTGGCTTACAATTTTTTCTTATTCCTTCAAGCTTCTATTTGCCTGCCCTTATCAACATGAAAATTTTGGTGAGAAAATCAGTAATTATCTAAGAATGGTCTTGGAGAGCTACATCACAAAGGACCTTGTGAGAAGCAGCCATGAGGTCTTGGGTACATGCTCTGACCTGCTGAAACTGACAGACTAGAAACCAGAATCTTTGCTTTGCAAACCATTCACTTATGACACACACAAAAGCCTGAGGAATACTACAGTATTTTTAAAACCACTGTGAAACTGCAAATTTTAAATCACCTAATGCTTGGACCAATGTTATCCCCTTCACAGAATTCAGATGACATAAACTCAAGAATTAGTAATAGTGAAATATACTGCATAAACATAAGATACATGTATAATTGATAAAGAATACTCTACTGGCTTGGTTACAGTTGGCCCAAGATTTACAGCAGTCAACACATCAGCCTTCTCTTGGTATCTGTAAATCCCATGGAGAATATGCTCCTTCTATCTCTGTTCAATACGAAAGAATTTAAGCATGTTTGAAGGAAAAAAATAATGATGTTTTGGATTTCTTTTTAGAGAGAAGGAAAAAAAAAGGAACATGTAAGCCAGACTGGTCTCAAACTCACAGCAATCCTCCAGTCTCATTCTTATGACCTTGGGATTTATAAGCCTCAGCCACTATGTCTAAGTTACTGTGATTTTTTAAGAGTAGAATAATGATATAATTACAAATTTAGTGGCTTTCAATGAGTTACTTGATAAGACATCAAATTAATATGAGTATGGCTATAATTTTGTCTTCATAATGCACTATATCCCTATTTAGAAGTATAATGTATTTTTATATACAACCTTTTATACACCATAATACATGGTACTCCTTGGCTGGTACACATTAAAATAAACCTCTAAGATTTTTCAAGTGTTCCGGTGATTCTAAACTATTTTCTATTGCTATAAGTCTCTGATCTCATGATATTTGTCCATATATTTGACTCTGCTATAACAAATTATTCTTATCTTTGAAAACAAGCTTTGTTAGTATTTTGAATATTATACATGTAGACGTATGCTTCTCTTGGTAGAGACATATTACAAATAATGTAGCCAAGTTTGTCTGTTTATAGTAAAAAATATATGAAGAAAATTTGAAAAAATCAAAATTTGGCATGTTTTGTAATAAAGAGAAATGTAGAGAGAACGAGCCAGTTATTAAAAACTTAGAGGATAGTTGCAAAATCTAAAAGTGTTAGGGTTGTATCATATACTTACAATACTGAAGAAACTGATAAAACTCAATAGCAAAAATGTCAGAAACTCACCAGGAAAGGAAAAGGTCTATAATCAGTCATTTACAAAGTGAAAAAAGCTGATTAGCTGATAAATATGTATCCCTAAGAATGAGTAACCTAATTCATAATCAAGTAAAACAGTAAAACATCAATTAAAAAAATTAAAATAAACAAAATTGTAGTTACATAATTTTATGTGTTTATGAAAATGTGAGGGAAGAAGTACACTTACACATTACAAAGAGATGGATAGGTGGCTGCAGGTTAGATCTTGGACAACTCCTTATTTATGACAACGTAACAATCTTATGTTGTCATAATTCTATGGTTACTGTATACAGAAAAACCCTCAAAAACAGTATGATACCGCTGTAAAAAAATGGAGATTTGAGAGCAAATTATGCATTTGACACCAAAAGAATGAGTCAAATTATTTGCAAGGAGCATAAAAGAGAGGACTACGACAGGTGATCATCACAATGAACAGTGTGAGTAACCGACACAGTAACCACTACAAACGACCATCACACCTACTTCTCCACATGAGCATCTGCCTCTGAGGCCAAATCTCCACTTCCTTCTCCAAGGGCCCTGTGCTTCCCAGGAAGGATTGGCTTACTCTCACTATATTAGGGGACATCACCAAGGCTCAAGATATTCAAGGCATGGCTGAAGCCTCTCAGCCACCACAACACATTCCTTACTGTTGCCCAGGTTCCTTGTTCTCCAGGTGAATAGGGTCTGCCTGTCCTCCCCAAACTAGAGAAATTCCATGCTCTAATAATCCTCAATATTTCTCTTTCCCCAAAATGCATCCTGCTAACTGTGGCAGGGAGTCACAGGTTGGCCCTCCTGTGGGCTCTTCCAGCTACCTGCAATAAGCCTCTGTCTTCAAACTGCATGGCTTGCTGAGGACTCAAGGCTTTTGACCAATTGCTTTCTATAGTATAAAACCCATCTCCACAATGCCACCAAAATAGGTATAGACCAGGTCTTTTCCTCTGCTATCTCCTCTACCAGGAAAGACCTGTCCTCAGGTTCCCTCACAACCTCTCAGGCAGCTTACTCACTATGGGAATATCAGAGTAATTCTAGAGTTGATATTATAATAAGGTATATCTTTCTTTGTGGGGCAAGTGAACCATGCCACCAAACAGAACTGTTAAGGTTGAAGCAGGTTCAAAACCCTGAGGAATCTCAGAATTGAGAATGGTAGGTGTGGAACCAGCTCCCTGACAGGCTCTACCTGTCCTGGAAAACATAACCATGATATCCATGAGAGGACCATAATTACCGTTCATGTAGCATAAAATCTGGGAGTTCTCCATGATAATGAGGGATCTAGATAGGCCCCTGGTGTTTAGTCATTGAGCTTCCCTTCCTAGCCATTCTTCCCCTGCAAAAGGTATTTAATCCGTGATTCATCTTGAGTAAGGCATATGCATTTACATCATCCATAAAATAAAACAGTTTGGTCAAACAAGGACACTCTCCTTCAAGGTTGGCTGGCCTGTCGGGGTACAGCAGAGAGGAGGAGAGCCTTTCTCATAAAGAGCCTTGCCTTAATCTCTTGGAGAAGGCCTTCTCTCTTTCGGCTCTTCACTTGGAAACAAACCAGATTCCACCTGGTCCTGGGCTGAGCCATCCCCTTCCTGCCTGGTGTGTAGGGAATGTATGGACCACCATTATCCTCTCTCTGAAGTCCAGAGCAGAGTCTGGGTGCATAGGAGTTTGAGAACCACCAAAGAACTCTCCCAGAATAACAAAGGCTTGACCCCTATCACAGACTGTATTCTGCCTCCCGTAAGTGGCTTCAGTGCTCTGGCATCTGCTATCCTAGTGGTGAGACATATGCTCAGCTTGATATACCTTGACTTTTAGTTACTCTGAGGCCAGGAGCTGCATGTCTCTGGATATATTGATACTTGTTACTAACAGCAGGGGGATTAGGTAAAGAATTTATTGACAGGACTCATTTTTCTCACCAAACAACCAGAAGACTTTCACTGGCCTGGTTGATTAAACAGGTCAAACAGAGAAACAGAGAGGAAGGAATGGAAGAAAATTAAGATGCTTTATACAGGAAAATATGCAAAGGCACATATACATTCATACATACATTTATATTTTACTCACAGCCTCATTTACATATTAACACATTCACATTATTCTTGGGCCCAACTACTTGTATCATACTCTCCACAAATACGCATACATGCTTACATATACACATATACCTACACACATACATATAGACAGACATATACATGTAGATGGCTGGATTGGATAGAGCCCCCAGGCCAAACCATCTAACCAACATTATTCCTTTCTCTGGCCTTTTTCTACTTTCTTAGACAAAAAGTTCTTTAGAAAACTACCTCAGAGATAAAATGTTACATAAAATGGGAGATACAGAAAGATGTTAATATTAAATACAAAGCAGTGTTTCATTTTAATATGTTCATTATAAGTTTAAAGCAACAGCTTTTATATGGCCTTGCATTATCATAGTGAATGCCTGTGGCTTTATCCTTAGAGCTAAATGTTTTCTTCTTGAACACAAATTTGTATCAAGTCTATTTCTCTTTCTAGTGCAATGAACACATTGTATTTCTTATTATGGAGTCTTTACTTATTATATGAGTAGTAGGCACATTATAGTCTTGATTCAAACATTATTATATCTTTCTAGCAAAGCAATTAAAATCATCACTTAAAATTTTTTCCTAAAATTATTTGAATCAAATCAGGAATTCTTCAGAATAATTAATTCACTTAAACAGCATTAATTCAAAAACGTTCATCTTTATGCTAATCCGAAAAAATTTGATCAATAGGGTGGGATAAAACCCAGAAGTTATTATATTAATTTAATAATAGTAGGAAAGCAATATCAGCTGCAAGAAGCAATCCTAAGATGAAGTCTCTTTGGTAACTTGCCATGGAGCTCACCCCTTGTAGACTATGCAAAAATAGTGGGCAACCTCCAGCAAGGTCATTTGCCAGCCTTAGCCTAACCTAAATGGCTCCTGAACATTTAATAAAGGATATCTTTGCATTTGTTTTGTGATTAGAAATTGATGATTGGATGTTGTTTGTGCTTAGTCTGGGGTCCACAGGGTAAGACTCAACAGTATGTGGGTTTCTTCACTGTCCACTCTGATATGAATTGTCTTATTTCTGAAGGGTTAAGAACTCCAAGGAGAGTCATAGGGAAGAAAGTATCTCTCTTCCATTTAAAAACTTAATTTTGTGGTATTGTATTATTTGCTTTAATGTTTACAGATGATTTGCTTGCTTGTATGTATATGAACCCATCACATGTGTGTTTGATACCTGAGAAAGACAGAGGAGGCCTTTGAATAACCTGTGACTGGAATTGCAGACATTTGTGAACCCAGTGTGATTTATGGGAGTTGACCCAGGGTCCTCTGGAAGAGCAGAGTGCGTTTAATCACCAAGTCAGCTTTCTAGTCCCTTTTCCACTTTTAAAGAAGGATTCTCTTAGCACCTCTCTCTTGAGGGCTTATTACCCACTACCACTCAAGGGAGAAAATAGGCCATAGTAAGTTCATCATATCAAACCATATAAAGGAATACACTAAAATACAGTTAACAATAACCATAGCACTTCCGTAATGGCCATAGAAAGAAGCAAAAGTACACACAGAATACACTAAAAGAATAAAATCTAGTAAAGAAAAAAACAATAATAAAGTACTAAAATATAAATGCAAGTATAAATATAAATAAAAGAATAAATATAATCGCTATTATAAATAGGAATATAAACATAAATATAAGTTTAACATAAATTAAAGGGACACATGAGAAATGGAAAAAGAAAGAAACAAAAGCCAGATTTTAAAAGGGAAAGCACATGACAAAGAGCAAGAGAAAAGAAAGATAAAAACATAAATACTAAAAATAAAAATAAAATTTGGGACAGTTCAGAACAAAGAGAGAGAGAAAAAAAAGAAGTCAATGATTTTTCTTTTAGCTAAGATACTTGAGTTAGATCAGAGAGGCCTCTTTTCTGATCCCTTTCTTCTCACCAAACTAGTTGGTGGTGTGTTTGGACTAAGGGATGCTTGGATGGACACAGATTCAATGGTGCATGGTGGAAGCACAGCTCCACACTATCACTCTGAGCAGAGCAAGAATGAGTATCTATTAAAACATGCCTTTTTACCTTAGCTTGGGACTCAAGTAATGAGGACAAGCAATTATGGACCCAAATCTCCAAAAGTATACATCAAAATAAATTCTCCATCTTTACAGTTGTTTACCTTAGATATCTTACTTTGACATAGTGATGAAAATTAACACACACACACACACACACACACACACACACACACACACACACACACAAAGAACAATAATTGCCTCAATGCTGTATGAAATTAAGAAGTGGCTTAAGGGATTTTTTGAACTAATGTCAATGCACTATACATCAATAGAGTTTTGATTACATAGAAGTGGGTGTTTTTAGACATTGCCCCTAGTTGAGTCAGGTGATCACAGATCCATCTACCAAATTTTTAACCCTAAATTGTTTCTGTCTAAAAAGAAATGTAGGGACAAAAATGAGAAAGGCTACCCTGTGCCTGGCCCAACTTGGGATATATCCCCATACGCACACACCAAATCCTGATACTATTACTGAGGCCATCTTGTACATGCAGATAGCAGCCTGCCAAGGCTATCTTCTGAAAGGCTCTACTACCAACTGACTGGGACAAATGCAGGTACTTTCAGCCAACTATTGGATTGAGGTCTGGGACAAATATGGAAGAGTGAAAGACTGAAGGAGCTGAGGGGACTACAACCCCATAGGAAGAACAGCAGTGTCAACTAATCAAGACCCCTCAAAGCTCCCAGGGACTAAGCCAATAACCAAGTAGCATACATGGGCTGGTTCATGGCCTCGGGAACATGTGTAACTGAGGGCTGCCTTATGGTCTCAGTGGGAAAGGATGGGCTTAATCCTGTGGAAACTTGATGTCCCTGGGAAGAGGAATGCTTGTGAGGGTGAGCAGGGGGAGGCGAATGATGTGAAGAACTCAGGGAGAGGGACAGGGAAGGGTGGCAACTTTTGGAATGTAAATAAATAAACCAGTTTAATAAAAGGAAAACTGGGTGTTTGTGAAAAGCCAATAAGTGTGTAGATTTGTACATCTTATTGCAGCATATCGTATTTCCAAAAGCACGATGGAAAAGTTAATACTTTTTTGTTACTAAGGAAGCCTAGTTTCATAAATGTGGAAATGGAATAGTTTTCAATTACATAGAAATCCCTCTTGTTACCTTTTAATTATTGCCTACATATATAAGGAAATGGGGCTTCAGCTTATCAGTTGTATTGTGCTGTGCTGCATTGTTACCTCTGGTGTCCCTTGTGGAGAGAAGGCACTATATGGCGGTACTACATCTGATATATTCTCATATCCTGGGGGTGGCAGTTCAGATAATGATGTTTTGAAAATCTAGAGAAACAAACAAAAGAAACAAGAGCAAATCAGTTAAAGTATATCACACGCAAGCAAGAAACGTGCATCCATGTCTCCAGTTATCATTTAGTAATTTCAAAATTCATATCAACACCTGATACTGTAAGCAATGTGGAGAGATGGAAAAATTTAGACCTTGTTCTGAGAATCCACATAGGTATAAATCTATAATCATCATCATTGCTGTCGTCGTCATAGTAGTCATCAAGAAATGATTATGTTCCATTTGTAAGTATATAAAAAGGAAGTTCAAACAGATGTGGCTTCCCCAAAGGAAGACAGCTGTATCATAAGGACAGGAGGAAATAATGACAGATTTTATAGAAAAACACACATCCTTGTCTGCTATAAACAACAAATACACAGGTGTTCCACAGTAGGCTAGAAGAGATTCAATCTCATGCTGGTGTTAGAAAACCTCACAAGCACCAGCTTCTATTTAAGGATAACATATCACCAGACATATTTTTAAGTCCTCAAATATATAACCTTACATAGTAAATGTTGCCACTTATAATATTGTTACAATAGCTATTTAGAGATCATACAAATATCAAATTTGTGTTAATAATTTTTATTTGAGAGGTCCATCATCAAAAGTATCTAGACACCCTGAACAACATTCATAGTTAAAACAATGAAAACCCTAACCAAAATATGTATCTGTGTATCTGTTTAAGTATTGTCCTTGAATTGGAAAAGCAAAGAATATTAAGAAACTTTCAAAGAATCAAACAAACAAAAACAGACATGCAATAGGAATTCTGAGAGATCACATTAAAATCTGCATTATAGGTCTGGATACTGAATATTCCTCAATGTCCTTGTGTTAACTGATTGGTTGTTTCAAGACAGCAGTATCAGGAGAAGGTGCAATCTCTATGAGATGCGGCCTTGTAGGTGATCTTTAAGTGAAGAGTATGAGCTTAAAGAACTCTGTTTTCAGCTTCATCCTCATTATTTGCTTTCATTGTGACATCATCAGCTTGTGCTACCACTCCCTTCTTTATTATGCACTGCCTCATTAGAGGTCCAATGCAATGGAACCCTTTGATTATGAACTGAGATCACCAAACCTTTAGCTAAAATAAAGTTTCATAAGTTAATTAACACAAATGATGAAGCTGACTAGACTACAAGAGTCCATTTTTTTCTCAGTTGGATGTATCAAAATAGAAATTCCTGTAAAAAGAACACAGAAATTAATATAATCTGACTATCCTTTGGGAACTGGAATCTTACAGAGGAGTACTGCATAAAGCTGGTCTTCAAAGAACAATATCTGTTAGAGTTAAAGATAAAATATAAATCAGTTATAAATCAGTTAAATAGGTTTCTTAATTCTGGGAATAGAGACAGACACTATCACAATTGAATAAAATAGTGATTAAAAATGAAAGCTGATAAAAAGAACACGTATTTTAAAAATATCTCAGTATTATGTCAATGAAAAATTACATTAGCTGTTTTAGTTCTTCCATACAGTAAATGTATCAGAACTAGATGATTTTCTTTGAATTTGAAATACTGAAAAGTGATGTCATGTTGAATATATAGTTTAACAAAAATATTTTTAAATTGTAAGAAATATATGATAATACATAAACATTGCATTAGACCCAAGCAATAAACGTGGACCTGAATGATCAAAATGCAAATAAGAGTGCATATATCTGAAATAAAAGCAATGCAAACATGCCACTTACAGAAAATGAGCACATGTTAAAAGAACCATCTCATAGTTAAATAATGATTGCACTAAAAAGGGAAACACAGCAAGAAGCAAGATATGTCCTAGAACTCTATGATTAAATTTAACATGATATCATATATAATATTTTTATATGTTCATTACAAAAAGACTGATCTATTATTAGTAAGAAAAGTTTAATAGCAATTTGAAAAGAAAGTCAAGTAAAAATGATATAACTTGTAGATAGCTTGGAAAATCCTATTTATAATATAAGGACCTCAGTTACAAAATAACTATTGGAGCCATTGTAGACTCTACTAGATATAATAAGTCGGCTGCAGAAATATACTGATAGAAATTAATGTTGTAGTTATACTTTATTGTTTTCATATTGAACATACATCTTGGTCTGACCAAACTCAGCTAACTGCCTTATAATGTCTTAGGCAAGTATGCACCTAGACTTATAATAAGAATTGTAAATTCTTGGCCTTAACTATATTATGTCTTCAAATTTCATTTTGCTTCCAGAGGTATAATATAAAGTCTTAGTAAAAGCCTATGCACACTGAGTGAAAAATATTCAGAGTGTCTAAGTTTTTGGCTAAGACCAATTGAAAATACAATCTTTTTAACCAATAAATCCTTGCTACTTGAAAACCCACATTAGGTCAATAAATATCCAGCTTAACTTTAAATCTAGTCTTTATGGTTTAAATCAGTGAAGAGTATCTGTTTAGAAACTGAAAATCCTAACCATATGTTACTCTTGAAATTCAGATATAATGCTCAAAAAACAAATAGTTACTATTGTGAATCACCCTTTTAAAAAAAATTCCCCAAATCACACTAAGTTTAAACACTCTAAAAAATAAACTGACATTGATAAAGACCTTTTAAAGGTTAATTGCAAATTTCAATAATACTGAATTTAATAAATACATGGAACTGATACAACTAAAGTAAAATCTTTCTTCTTTTTTTACTTACCTCATTTCCATCTTCATCAATTATTGAGATATAGTTGGGATGAGTCTTATTTGGGTAGGACAACAGAACATCATAATGGGACAACTCAACCAAATCCAGGCCAAATTCTTTCCACTGGGCATGAATTTGCTTTGCAAGCTCAAAGTTGTCTTGTGTTCCTGCCAAGTGTGGTGTCCGTGTGAAGTTGCTGGTGAAGGAAAATTGAAAATGTTTAAACATTACTGTTTAGTCTGTCTGCATTTTCAATAAGCACCATGAAAAACCTACTTTTGTAATGTCTATAATACACAGCTTAGTGAATTAAATACAAGATGTGAAGATGTTCCATGAAGAAGTTTAAGTCCAATGCCTCCTATTCAACAGAGCACTCCTGGAAGCAATAGCTTGCATAGATTTTTATATCTCTTGTAATTAATATAGGCATATATATGCATTCAAACAGATACATAACTTTATCCATATGTGAATATTTAAGCCTTTTATACCAAATCACTTTGTATTCATTAGGAAATTCTATTATTAGAGGGATTTCAAAAATTTTTGGCACATATGTTAATCTGATTTGTTGAAAACCTATAATGTGTTCTAGATGATTAGATATACTAATTCTACCTGTATTAACATATTTTATTTTTAAGTATAAATTTAACTTTGTGACTACATGTAAGTTTTATTTTCTTGCACTAATGAGGTTCAAACCAGGGTATTGCACATGCCCAGGAATAGAGTTCAGGCCTGGCATGTGCAAGGGCCAATACTTTTAAAATTTATTAATTTATCTCTTTTGCATTATACTCTTTCAATAAGAATAGAGTTAGTTTTTAAATTTTTCAATACATCTGCTTCCCAGGTTTATCCTTATTACTGCATATCACTAGCCTCATCTCATAGGCGAGAATAGAAGCCTTGTTTCATTAGTCACTCAAAGTTAGTTCCCTCATAATGAGCAGAGATGGAGCTCAAACTAAGTGCTGCGTGATTTTAAATCAGCTTTTTCGTATCTAAAACCTACTATCTTTCCTTAAAGGACGAGTCACCAATGTATGCCCCTTCATCCAAATCCGGCCATAATCTATTTTTGTACTCTCCACAGGCAAAGAACAGCTTAATAATTAAGTAGGTGAGGAAATAAGATGGGATTTGGTAATGCATCAACAAATAATAATCAAATTTCAGTGCTCATGAGTACAATTTTATCAGAACCTGCATAGGTATTTGTCACATCCTTCCTATGGCTTCTTTTATGTTGCAGGGCTAAAGTTAAATAGTTATGACAAGTGTTTGTTGGCTTGAAACAGCTGGTCCTGCAGGAAATGTTTTCTGAGTCCTACTCTGAAAGTTTTCTAAAGATATGATGTGAAAGCTGAAGGTGCAAGCCTCACTTTATGGAATATAATACAAGTATATTCTTACTATAAAAAGTTTTTGATGTTCTCAGCCTTCAGCTCATGCAAAAATGCCTTCTTCATGCCAGAATAGGAGACATTACTAGTAGCTTCATTGGAGGATTTTATAAACCACCCTGGAAAATATAAGCAAAAGTGTGAATGAAATATGAAATCATGTCAGGATCTTATTTTTATCAAGGACATAGTTAATCAATTATCTCTCATATTATCTGTGATTCTCATGATTTTTTTCTCCCTTGCTTTCTTTTACAGAGAAAAGAGCATATCTGTATTGCTTTTAATTAGAAAGCAAGTACAAAATATTTTAACCCAATTTCAATTATTTGTGTTGCTGTTGTTTCTAAGAAAAGTTTAATATGAAAATTCAATTATGTAGTGTTGTTACAATTATTCGAGATAAAATGCTGTGAAAAATGTAGTTTTTTTCTCCATTAGCTTCTTCTGCCAATAATCATTTGCTTCTCTATGGAGCTGAAACAGGCATTTAACAGAAATTCATAATGAATTAATTATGAGTACAGTGACTGGTGAGATTGCTCAAGCAATTAAGAGAATGTAATGTTCTTGCAAAAAGACCTGACTTTGATTATTAGCACCCATATTGCACAGTTCCCAACAAAACTCTATGAACACCTTCTCACACATCTACATATATACGTTCCCAAAGATATAACATACGAAGTTAATGTAAAATAAAGACAATCCTAATTGTTAATATATTCTAAATATATAAATTATATCAAAACATTAAAAACAACCTCTGACTTTCAGTTAGCTTTGAATTGGACATTAAGACAAAATACACTTACGTTTTGTTTCTTCTTAAAAATTGGCTTGAGACACTGAAGTTCTGAAAACTATAGTAAACTACAGTGTACTTCATAGTTCTGCAAGACATCCAATGCACAGAAAGCCACAGACAAGTTATAACCTGCTCCTTAGCCCCTGAACTCAGGAGGTGATTTTAATCTTAGAGGGAGAGAATATTTTTATAGAGTTTACAGAGTACCTGACCTGAGAATAAAAAGAACTATTCAGCCAACCCTCCTGGTGCTTTACCATTATTGATAACATATTCACAAACATATAAGCACATACAGTAGAGACATACGATTGGGCAAAAGGAAAATATTATTCCTGTGCATAGAACTAAAGGCCCTGGTGTTGACTGTGAGATTAGGGAAGAACATTCTACATCTGAAATAATCTACAAATGAAAAAGATAGAGGCCTGTGGTAGAGACAGAATACAAAGAAACTAACAAACTGAGTTATTGAACAGTGAAACCAAGAAATTAATAGAGTAACCAAGTACAAATGAGTTGCTTTTGGGATATGTATCTTTTTAATCCCTTGCTAACTTTTCCAAAACTCGATTCTCATTTCAACTTAAATTAATCTCATCGGGGATCACAACAACCATTGGTAATTACTGATATCTTTGTATTTAGTTTGAATGGAGTCTATGGCCCAAGGTTACACAATTGGTCCATAGCCTGTCTCTACAAATGACATAGAAGTAAGTCAGAATTCCAAGCAAAGATGAATGACTTGACGACAATTTAGACTGGCCTGTATACTAAAGTCCAGTAAGAAAGCTGTCCCTTATGAAAAAGACCCAAGTAGTTTGCTAGGAAAGCTCCTCATGCTGTATCATGTCGTAGTAAGTTTCTCATACTACTTTCATCATAAAGAAGGGGAAAACTAAGGTTGAAAGAGACTGGATAACTTTTTCACAGTAAATGAGAAATAAATGATACAGATTCTGAATTTGTAATTCAGCTAGCCTGTGTTACTGATGTCCAGTGCTGATGGTTTCTTACAGAGTTGGGTTAATCTGAGCTAAACTCAAGAAGCTCCTGTTAAGGATGTGTTCACCCAGTGCTGACAGTAACTCACGTTTCCCAGAATGTCTCTGCTATGTCCAAAGAAGAATATGAATAGAAAGTGACTCCTTTCACAGAGATGCCCTGAATGCGGCGGTATCCTTGAAATTGCCCCAGGTATGAGCTAGATGAACTCCCCACGCAGGCAAGAACCACGAAAGCCAAGCTTACTGGTTGATTTGGATCAGCAGCCACTAGGAATCTGTACTGAGAAGTGTGGTGTCCTGCAGGGTTCCAGTGGGTCAGACCTAATTCCAGTTACTGTTCCAGGTTTTTCTCTACTTCGTTTTGCTTGGTTTGTAATCTGACTTTAATTCACTCCACAGATAATTTATTCCTAACTCAATCCTGCACAGACCCCAGGAAATCTCTGCTTAACTCAGAAACAGCAGGCCCCTTCCTCCGTGCAAATCACTGCGTCCCAGGGAGACCCTTGAAACCTCTCCAGCAGACCGAGTGGCTGCAGAGTGCAGAAGGGAACGAACAGAGAGAGTATGCGGTTTGCCACGCAAATGGACCATACCAAAGAGGAAGCCAATGACGAAGATTCCGGAGAAAACTAGCACCAGTGTCACAGCACGGAGCCAGCGCTGGCAGCGTCCCAGGACCTCCGCGGAGTCTCTGTCCTGCAGTGCATTCCACATCTCTGGCAACTTTGGTCTTCCTCAGCAGCTCTCCTGTACTGTAGCTTTACAGGAGAGATCCTGCAGGCTAAAATTTCCTCCCACTCCTATTCCCCTGAGAAATAAGTCTCTCCTAAGAGTTTCTCCGCCCCCAAATTCTGGTGTACTCTGAACCAATTGTAGTTAGGCTAAGGATAACTGCCTGCTAAAAAGATAATCTGGCTTCTTTGGACTGACACTTAACAGTTTCTCTTTGAAACTTTACTGACGGGCAAAATAGAGAGATAAACAAGAATATCAGACAGCAAAGATAACTTGCCAAAGAGTGCAGCCTGTTCTCAGAAAAGTATTGTGGAGTCATTATCCTTGCTTAATGATCCATATTAACTGCAATAAACTTTGTTTGAGGAGTGTGAGAAACTTAGTTCTGAAGAGCCAATACTTAAACACAGGAGTGAACACTTTCCCTTCCCTGACAGTTTCTCTTATTGTTAATCCTGTGCTTAAGTCTCTGTTATCTTCTTGATGAATTCCAACTGTCCTTTTTTTTTTTGCCATCTGAAATACATTAGGAGATTAAACTGTGACCTGAAAATCCTCTTTCTTTTCTTAGTGTAAGAGTAAAAGATTCAGATCGAAATACTGAATAAAGAAAATATGTTACCTTAATTGCACATCTTTTTTTTTTTTTTTTTTTTTTTTTTTTTGTTTTTTTCGAGACAGGGTTTCTCTGTGTAGTTCTGGCTGTCCTGGAACTCACTCTGTAGACCAGGCTGGCCTCGAACTCAGAAATCCACCTGCCTCTGCCTCCCAAGTGCTGGGATTAAAGGCGTGCGCCACCACCGCTGGGCTTTAATTGCACATCTTTTTGAGAACTTCTTTTGAGTGTTTTGGATAAGAGACAGGTTCTGCAAATATCTGGCCAAGACCCTGAACACCAATAACAAAAAACTGAATTAATGAAATGACTTACATTTGCAGCAGAAACAAAAGACAGCTCAATGCAGCCATCTATAGCAGCCTGAGGCGTTCCTCAATCATTATGAAGCTAGATTCTGGTAAGACTGGACCATTGGCTTTTACAGAGAAAAGACTGTCAAAATATGTTAATAAAAGGCAGAATTCAGATTTATTAAAGGAATTTTCTAATTTAGAGTTTTAAGCACCAGGTTTAAGAGAATGGAGAATTTCTAAAACATGGTAACATTTACCTCAGCATGGGTGCGGTCTTTCTCATCGACTTGTAATTTTTTATTTCAATGCAATATATGCCATTTTAGGTGCATTTTGCAGCTATACTCTTCAGAGTGTTGCTAGAAAACATAAATGACATAAGAGCATATTTTCTGTAGTGCAGCAGACAGGGTTGATGATAAAGTCAAAGTACAGATCAGTGGGATACAGGAAGTTAGAATATATTCTCTGTAAACAAAACCAATTGTTTTGTTCCTGTGATTCCCAGATGATAAGTGTTTAAACCTTAGTCTGGGTCCTTGAAACTCAGTAACAAATAGCTACAAACTTCTATATGAAAGAAGTATCATCTTTATTGACAGAAATCTTCACTGCAAACATGAATTGTACGGGAATCCTTGCTTCTCAGCTGGTAAGAGTCATGATTAGGTTGCAGGATGAGGTGTTTTTCTCCCTCTGAAGAGGAACTTTGGAACACTTGCCTCCCTCCCTCCCCCCATGGGACAGGATAATTAACATTCCTTAGTCAGAGGACACTTGCTGGATTAACATTCAAGGAAGGGAGGGAGAAGCTGATTAACATTCCTCAGACCACAAGGAAGGGAACCCACCAGTGGGTGGAGAAGGCCAAGGGAGGTCCTTGCCACCTCATTTCCCCAAAGACCAATCAGCTTAGAAGTCACACTGTTCTGCCAATCATATTGTGCCTAATCACTGAGTCTCTAGTCTTAACTGTATAAAAACTGATCAAAATGGGCTGCCTGGGGTTCTTTGGCATAGGTCGGCCCGAATGCATTGGATTATTAAAATTCCTCTTGCTTTTTGCATTGATTTACGTCTCGTCTCTTCACTCAGTGGGTCTCCAGTAAACTAAGCCTCCCCAAGAGTCTTACACCTCATGAACAGATAAAGCACCAAGTCCTTTATTCGTATGAGTTCAGCTGCTTCTTTTATCTAGTCCGAAATCTAGTCTTATCATCAAGAACCAAATGATGGCACGGGCATACACCTGTCAAAATCTGTATTGGCTCAAATTTTACTGAGATTTTTCTGACTGTTGAGATTTTAATGTTACTTAGGAAACACTAGTTAACCCCTTCTGTGCCTGTTTTAAATTGACTCAATGAAAATAAAAGGAGGGCAATTTTATTAGCTAGTCAGCATTGGAGTGATTGTAAATCTACTCTTATTCTTTAATTGAAATGATCTAAAATTCTTTTTGAATCAGAAGCACACTCTTACTACATAGGTGTGACTGGCCAAAAACTCAGAGAGACCCACCTGCTTGTTCTGCCACATCTGCCTATAAAAGGATTTTTCATCAATAAACCTCGGAATTGGACTGGTAACAGGACTCAGAAAACTTAAAGTCATAACGTCTCACTATTGTCAGATTGATTCTCCAAAACTTCTTCACTGTCTTTTTAATCTCTCAACTTAGACTGTGTTAGTGCTTTCCGGTCAACCATAGAATGAGTCTGAATTCTGGAACAACGCACAAAGACTCTCTACACTTTGTGCCCTTTCCAACAGTTCTTCTACTAACTGCCATGTATTTGTATGCTAATTCTTTACTTTAGAACACGTGATTCAGCCATAGAAATGGAATAATAATAATAGGTTCTGTCATGTTCTGGTATAAGAAAGGTTAGCACAAAATTCTGAATCCTTGGATAGACATCATAATGTACCCTCCTCTTTCAACACAAGGGTATTAAAAGCTACCATCTATTTCTTGAAGTTTTTTTCAAATTCAGCTTCACACACATATTCAGCAGTTGCCTTTGTTTAAAACTAATAAATCATATTGTATTCACTAAGTTTGAATAAAATGATTGTCTTAAGTAAAGAAATATATCCCAAACAACAAAATGAGATAGATGCACTATACAGAGAGTATTCTTTCGCAAATACAAAGAGGTGTTATCAGTTGAAATGAAATATAAGTTATATAACTATTTTACCCATATTAGTTAGGCCAAAGTATTATCCTTATCTGTGGAGTACAGTTCTTAGGGAAAGGGGAAAACCAACTCATCTTGTCTTATCCTTAGCTTTCAGTAAAGAAACCTTGTTTTTTGAAAACACTTTAACTTAATAAAAAAATGCTTCTTTTCCAGAAATGCATGGACTTTATTTTGATTTGAGATTCAAAAACTGGGACATGAAGTCCTGAGTACAGGACCATAGAGTTACGCAGTTATTACTGGTGGAAGAAGATGCTAGCAGGACATTCAGATGCTATGAACATAGTCTATTCTAGATGGTTGCAGAGCCCAGGCACTGAGGCTGAAGCCAGTGGCCATCAGTGTTGCCAGCTGGTGCTGATGATATCTAGTATTCATGACTTAGCATGGTAATCATGATAACCTGTAAATCAACAAGGAAAATAAGGAGTCTGGTTCATTGTCAAAGAGATAGGCATGTCCTTCTCCTTCTAGAATATTCTGACAAAGGCTAGTGCTCACGACTCATCTAGCCCAGGCATATACCTTATGAATTTACTTGGATGGTGGTAATTTTCTCTGTGTATTGATCTTTGATCTGGTCTATTTCTAGTTTACAACCTTCCACCCATTCCCCACATTACAGAAGTGATTTCACTCAAGGCATTGGATGAAAGTTTGATCCATACTACCCTTCAACATAGGCCAGCTTGAGCATTAATGAATTCATGGAGGGCTGCTCGTAGTGAGTAGAACTCATCAAGGACACGGGAGCTCATGGAATCTGGTAGCTGGACGTAGGAGCAGGGCCTAGACTAAGACTGTCTATACCATCACAGGCTTTTCAACCTCAAGGATGATGATGAGGGTGTTGATTACCAAGTTTATTAAATCCAGCTTGGCATGCTTAGCTCGGTTGTTACGGCCACAATTTAAGAAGTTGAGGAGCATTATCACTTATATCTGAAGCACCAGGGGGATGGAGTTGAGCACTGTAACAGACACAAAAAAGAAGGCAGGGACTTGCTGCACTTCAATGTTCAGCTGAGACTCACTAGCCTTGAACACCATGCTGTGCAGCACACTCTCAGCCATGCTCTCCTTTTATAATGGTTCATATTGTTTATGTGCTTTCTGTGCCTGTTTCTTGTCAAATACAGGTGTAGGTCAGTTATGAGCTTCTACTTTTAGGGCCAGACTCCAAGGTACTGTGGCCCCCATATCCATCTTGGTCCTAAGTTTGTTAGACATTCTGCTGCCATGTCCTCAGCTGTATATTTCCTGGCAGTAATCTTTGTAGATGTCCCTAGTTCAACCACAAGAGTCCCCTACTTCAGTCCAATAGTTAGTTGTAAATATCTGCTTCTGTTTCAGTCAGTTGCTTGTTTGACTTCTCAGCAGAAAGCCATGCTAGGCTCCTCTCTGTAAGCACACCAAAGCATCAGTAAGCAAAGTGTCAGACCTTAGAGCATCCTCTTGGGATGGATCCCAAGTTGGGCTTGTCACTGAACCTCCTTTTCCTCAGCGTTTTCTCCATTTTTGTCCCTACAGTTCTTTTAGACGGGAACAATACTAGGTCAGAGTTTTTGACAGTGAAATGGGGTTTCCATCTCTACCTGATACACTGTGCTTCCACCGGAGGTGGATTCTATGAGTTCGCTCTCCCACTGTTGGGTCCCCCAACTCCCAACCCCCAAGGTTGTATATTTCCATTAATTTTGCTTCATTAATTCAGGGCTTCTCTCCTGTTTTTGAAACCCCAGTATCTGATTATATTCCTGTTTTCCTCTCCTCCTACCTTTTCCTTCCCAGGTCTCTCTCTCCTTCTGCCTCCTATGATTGCTTTCTTCTCCCTGCGAAGTAGGATTGAAGCATCCTCAC